GTACAGGTGACGGTGCCTTGAATGCGGCATCATCCCATGTATCTCCCTGGCTTTGCCTTCTTATGTAATCACTCAAACAGCATGCTGCCCTCCCTTCTGGAAGCCCGCAGTGACGCTTGCCGTCATCCACCTTGTCCGGTCCAACCTTGCGCCCCGAATCCCCGCGACGGGGGCATGCCCTTTTCCAAATTCCAACCCTGATTATCCTGGCTTTCTTTCTCCTTGGTTACAGCGGTTAAATTCGCCCACCATTCAGCGTCTTCGTTCATTTCTGGGCGCATACTGGCAGACCTCTGAAAGCTCTGCTCAGTCACAAGCGTCAAATCCTCGGCCCCCCAAACGGAAATCTATCGTCCACTCTCCGTCTCGCCTAGACTCTTTGGCACAGTCCTGCTCGCCCACCGCAAGGTGTTCATCCACAGTACGACGCTGGGCAACGCTGGACATTCGGACGGCACACTTCGGATCTCTCGGCATCGGAGCGCAAAGAAACTGCCCTTTGATCTCCGTGCCGTACTTCCTCTTTCTGTCGCCCTTTCTGCGGACCTGCATCATGTCCGTCCAATTGTTCCTGATTGACCGCATCGGAACCTGAGTTGGCTGCGCCTATCCGCTCACTACATGACGCTCTACCCAACGCACCTTTCCCCTCAGCGGATCATCGACCTGCCGTGCGGAGAACGGGAGTCGGTCATCGCCGTCGCCGGCGCAATACTCCACCACACGCTCCCATCAAAGCTGTGAGCGTGCTATCTATCAATTGGGAAAGGGCCTGTACACGTGATAGGAGAATTGTCATAGAGGGTTGCGACTTCGACTCGCCCTCTCCAACCACGAATCAGTAGCCGTATACGCCAGACTCACCAATCATGTCAATGTTTGACAGAGCGACGCCAAACTCTACGTTTTGGAGAAGTCATCACGCATCTTGAGAATCCGCAATCAGCGCTGGAAGTTAGCTGTCTGGCATTCTGCAATCCCACGAGGTTGACAGCGTCTTTTAAACAACAAGAGGCTTGATGGTCTGGAACCAGGCTGCGACCTACTTCGACCTTTAGCTAAGTGAAAATTGTCTGCATGCGGGATTCGCTCACACCAAGACGCCTCCCCGTCGTAGGTTGTCTTGTACAAGTCTCGCTGAAAGTCGCCTTCCCGGACGCCCTCGCCAGCTATGGCTTCGCCGGCTTGACCCTCCCTCCTGTGAAGATGCGCCATCGGCCTGGCCAGTCAACCAGTGCTCGTACACCGTGACCCGGGGCAAAAGCGACACAATTTGCAATTGTCTCCAACGTGCAACGAGGAGCTTGAGGGCCGTTCACATTGTGGTTCAGCATGGCGCCGGATTGGGTTATCGTGACTTCGGCTACCCAAAGTGGCTACGGTCCGACAGGCAGCTGGGAATGTAGACGCCCAGATCCGATGGAGCGGGCACGCTACAAACAGACTCGCACCCACGCAACCACGCACCATCGAGATAGACTGTCAACACCACAAGTCTAGGCGTCGGCGATGCCTGACATCGGCCCTATCGCGGCGCCATGTTGACTTCGACGGACTTTGGCTATGCTTGTTGTATGCTTCGGCGGTTGACCAACTGATGCCATTTAAGTCGCCAGCTGAGCGAGAATACCCTGCAGCGCTTGTTACTGTCGCTATCACCATCTGCTCGCTCTTCTATCCATTGAATAAGCATTCCACCGGAAGGAGACTGATCAACCGCGCCTGCGTTGAGTCATCTCTTTGTCTTGAGGTGATCGCCAGAATATCCGCCGACCTTGACCTGTGTTCGGCTTGCAACGTCTCGCATCTCAAGAGATCGCTTTCGCCAATACTAACACGCTTCTTCAGTCCTTTGTTCGTTGCAAAAATCGATCTACAACCCTCGCCATCCTCGGCGACATCGTCGTCATCGACACAGGATCTGAAAAGGACCATCGTCATCCGTGTCGCCTAAGCGTTCTATACGTCAATCCAAGCAAAAATGATGCGCCTGCAGACAAAGGAGTGACCAGCTCACCGTCAAGGAAACAAACAGCAAGCATTGGGTTGATCAGAGTGTTGTATACTCGGCGACAGTGGGGTTTCACTGCTAATGTGCCGATGCCATCGCGGAATAACCCTGTCAAAACCATGAATGTAGTAGGTATGTCTGGCTTCAAGACAGAATACTCACCAGATTCTCGAGATTCGAGCTTCTAGCATGGACACACTGGTATTCAACAGACGGCTTTGATCGGAAATCCGTTCAAGCTTGAAGACCAAGATCCACGAGAACGCCTACACATCTCAGATTTATCAATACCGGACCGGCTTTTACTGCGATCTGTCATATGTGATGATGAGGCGATAATCACGTTGTTGACAATACGTACGGGAATTGCCCGGAGAGACTTTTCATCATCAAAGACCTCTGGCGCGATCTGCCAAAGGATGTGGTTGACGCTGAGACGCACGTAATCTCGATGGTCCGTGAGAAGGACGAAACAGACCCGCGCCTAGCAGCCGCATTGACATCAAACGCCTGCTCAACCCACCTTTGGGTTTCTCGGGCTTGGAAAATAAGAATTTCATCGCAGTACCTGACGGGACGATGTCTGTTCTTCCCAGCCTGCGCTTTTGGATCTCATGGCGTGGGCGCTAGGCCGACGCCATGCGTGCCCGTGTACCTAAGAAAAGAAGGACATGAAATGATCGACCCTTGAGCGTGCGTCCGAGCAACATCGGACGACTCGCAGCGAGATGGTCAACGGCTGCTGTCATAAGGAGAGAGGAAAAGCTCAAACGACTTAGTCGACCTCTCGCCGCTGGAGTAGCACTGGATGACACGGTTCCCGTGGCTCGCCAAGGCCAATGGTCGTTTTCAGGTCGAGCCTCGATGCCGCGGGGCCCCACTCACGATGCAATGCTATGTAAAGCACACACTTCGCCCGCATGCTGCAGGTCGCAGGACGAGAGAGATCAGCACGAATGTGGGATCTCCAGGGGCAGCGCGACCGAAGCGGCCATGGGAAGCCCTTGAGGCTATGCATCGCGTTGAGGCCGTCTGGTTCCTGTGTCCATCTGGTTCCTCCGTCTGTCTCGTCTCCCGCTCTCTCCACATTTGGCCTATGCTGAAGTCGACCACTTCGACGGCGATATGACTAGACCACTAGATTGCAGCACTACAGCAAACGTCCACCGGCTTCCTAGGACTCCGAGAAAGCTTCGAGACTACGGGGCGAGTGCGGAATTCCACAAAACATCTTGCTCGCTTCCTGGCTGCCTGTTCACGTCTATCATGAATTGCACGGCATGCCGGGTCATGTGACGGTCCAGGCTCGGCAGCTCGAGAACGTGGGCGAAAGTGGCTTGTCCGCAAGCGAAAACATAGAGATAACATGCGGCAAAAGGATACAATACAGTCAAGAAATTACTGTAGATGAGAGGAAACGACTGGCCAAGATCCCCATCTCAGTCTGGAAATCAGGTGTGGCTTGCTCTTCCGCCCATCCTTCGGCGCCAAGTGGGCGAAACTAGATCAGCCCGCGCCGTACCTTGCATTCCGCAAACGGCCATCTGAGACCACTTCCGTCGTAGCAACATGTTGGTTCTGCCCACTCATCCCCCCCACAACTCTCTTTCTTTTGTGGCGTTTCTACTTACAAGGTACGTTCCCGAAGTTTGATTCTGCAGACAGAGAGGGTTGAACATTCCAGTTACGCCCGGCCCAATTCCCAAGCATTTTGACATGGCGGCGGCACATAGCAAGACGGTTGACTGCGAGGTGAAGTCGTCCCAAAGCGCCATGGAACCAACGCAAACAGGTCTAGCAGCTTGTCTCGATCCGCAAGATGGGATCCTCGATGGGGTTGAGCAGGGATAACCCAGACCCATGCCCTGCAGCGGGCATGAGTACGAGACTACGACTTTACGGGAGCAGTGCTCAGAAAACACCAACGACCCAATTACTACCACACCCGACCTACGAACCCCCTTTTGGGTTGGACTTCTCGACCGGACGTGGTTGTACTCACCCTTCACCCCACGCACGTCCTCAGTCGGCGCTCTCGTCGAGAATACACCACGATGTCTCCTCCCATCTCCACTTGGACGATGGTCACTGAGAGAGAGGCAACTCAGCCACTGACACACTCTGCCCGAGACGGATCCTGGCTTCGGTCACCCTTCAGTCTAGTCCTAGTCCATCACTGCTCGAGGGTCCAGGCCGACCCCATCCAACGAGCTCGTCCATGGTGGACAGGTAAGTAATATGGCTGGTAACAGAGAGGTGGACATGTGTGTGTGTGTGTTTTGTTGTTTGCTGTTGGTATCCGTGTTCCCTGTTTCATACATAACCTGCCGGCGTCCGTCTGACCATTGAGAGCCAAGATCACGCATCTCATCCAGGTTTTTTGTTTTCCTCCTTCACCGCCCAGGACCCCTTGAAGTCCCCTTATATTCACCAGTACCCCTCTAATACGAGGTCACCTTCTATTCCGATCCCGTGTAACTAATACTCGATAACGGTGGCATCTTGCCTTGTCTCGTACCCTACCTCGGTTCTTGACATCATCTTCGACCCTCAGCCAAACGATTCAAACAATAGCAATACTCTGTAATAATATCATCAGAGCGATCTCTTCTTCATACCCGATTGAGAAGCCACAGCGCCTCGTACATTATCGAGAATCACAATCTCTGAGCTTGTTCTGGGTCCATCGCCACCGACAACGCTCTTCGCCGCATTCGAACGAGACATTGTGAGCCAGTCTGATTGCAGCAACTTAGGAAGGCCACACATTCGAGGCCAGAACCGACTTCGGTCGCAAGAGGGACCCTTGCCTTCACGTATCCTTCCTCACTTCAAGAAGAGAGCCGTGCTCCATCTTCATTCACCTTGGTCGACATTTTCACATCTGATACCACGCACCTTCCTCACTTTCCTGCTCGGACCTTGAGCAACCCTCACTTTCATCAATACACAACATCATACACCTCAATTACATTCAACGCGATTCACAATGGGCAAGAGAGTATTTGTCGATTGGGAGCTGTGGCAGCAGATGACTTTTGTAAGTCTTCATATCACTACTTCCAAAATTTCATGACTAACACACCTAACCCATAGGTCTTGGCTTGTGCCATTGGCGTCGTCTTCATCATAGGTTTCGTGAAGCTGTGGTGGTCAAACCGATATATGGCCAAGCTCGAAATTATTGACGCGGAAAAGAGGGCACACGCCTCAGAGATGGAATCAACCGGCCTGCCGCCCCCACGAAAGCAATCCGAAATTCCCTTTGGCGTCCGCGCCATCCAGTCCGGCATTGAAGTCGACGGTATCTGGATCTCCCGCCCCAACACCCCCGCTGCCGACTCCCCTCCCAACTCTGCCAAGGGAAAGGGCAAATACGTCTCCATGGGCCCCATCTCGCCCGCCTCAACAAACTCTTCGGATCCCTTTGGCTCTCCGCCTTCGTCTCGCGCCGGCAACGGTGTTACAGTCGGTCCTCAGACATATCGTCCCAAGTCATTCTCCCAAAACGCCGTCGCGAGCCGCGCCGACGCCCTCAGCCAGCTTGAGGGCAACCCGAACCCGCCAAACGTACCTTCATACAGCACCTACCAGCCCCGCGGCAACGTCGCCCATTCCGAAACCTCTGACGAGGCGACCAGCCCCGTCAGCCCAATCGACCGTGGTAACGCAGGCATCAGCAGCGAGAACTACAACGGCATCGACGTCCGAGTGCCCATCCGAGCCTCGCCTGTTGTCAACCGTCAGCTCAACAAGGTCCGCAACGTCACTGGCGGCCCCGCCCAGCAACCGACCACGGGCGGTGGTGTCCGCTCTTTCAGCGGTAGCTTGCAGCTGCCCAAGAACGGCAAGGGAATGTACTCTACCGTGCCGCAGGGCTCGCCCGGTGGGGATTTCACTGATCCCTTTGCTACGCCTGTTACTACTCCAGGTGCCGACCAGGCGTTGCTTCCTTCCCAGCAGCAGCAGCAGGGATCTCATCACGTCAAGTTTGCGAATGTTGAGTATATCACCAGCCAGCGCTACGCCAGCGACGGTAGCAGCGGGAGCAGCGGCAGCAGTAGTAGCAACAGCAACAACCACAACTAAGACCTCATTTCGGCTTGGGATAGTGTGGTAGGTTGACGGTACATCAGCATCGGATGGTAAAGCGAGTTCTTTTTTTGGCTTCCTTCTTTTTCTTTCTTCGCGAATCTTCTCACAAACTTGGAGAATAATATCGTAGCAAATGTATGAATAACAAAGGGCAATCTGTCGAATATGGACAGTGGGGGATGGAAATCAGGTTCCGTGGCCTCTCTCATCCATCCAAGAGATGGCATACGAGGGGTAAGGCGTTTCAGGCATGTAAAAAAAGATTCATTTCATCGGGACCATTAGACGGTGGGCACCTCTTGCGCAGCAAGGTCTCTCGTCGACCCCCTCTCTCCAGTGTCAGAAAGATTGGGGCAGACTATCATTAAAAGGAAAGCATTCCTCCATAGAACAAGAACAATGACAAGAAGAAAAAAACAATTCATAACCAATCTCGACCAAGTATCTGAAGCGTGTAGCGATATGCATTCAATGAGACTGATGGTGACTAGTTTAGACCAGAGCATCGAAACGCGCAATGCGATAACTTTTAATAACGCCGCTCGGCTCGCAGCCTTGAGCTCCGGACTTCGGCGTGGCTCCGCGCACGTCGGCACCGGCGCCGGTTATGGCGACGCAAATGAACCCCGCTCATTCGACCTCCTCCCCTCCTTAACCCCCCCCCCCCCCCATGGAGGTAATCCTCCCAACCCCCACATAATTGACATGACGTGCGTGATGAATGGAGAGGGAGGGACGATCCGTATCGGCGGCCAAAGGAATAACCGCAATACATTCCCCCCTCTTCCACGGATTGAGTTGTCTCTTCTTTTTTTGCACACTCTTCTTGTCGTGATTTTTCGTTCTTGCGTAATTGCATCTGAGTTTAAGGGTACTTGTGAACACAATACCAGCTCCTCCCATCTACGAAACAAGGCTCTCAGGATCCAAGCAACTTGACCCAGGCGGTTTGAGACATCTTCACCCACAGCATAGTCACAACACCATTTTACGCATAGTTGTATAGAAAGACGTGTCACCACCAACTTGACTCAACCTCGGAAGACAACACAGTACCTCAGAAGAGGAACCAAAAAGAAAAAAAAAGGAAGATTCAGAAAGAAGGAAATAGACAACCACCACAATGTCACCAACATCCCTCCACCAAGGCGCCTCAAAAGGCTTCGCAGACGCAGCAACCTACGACGCCTACCGCCCCTCCTACCCTCCCGCCGCAACCCAAAAGTTCCTCGAGCACCTCCGTCTCGCCGACGTGCCCCACGCCAAGATTTTGGATTTGGCCGCGGGTACGGGGAAGATGACCGAGGTGCTGGCGGCGCGGCACGAAGGGTTCGAGGTCGTGGCCGTGGAGCCGCACGAGGGGATGAGGGCGGAGCTGGAGAAGAAGGGGTTGAGGGGCGTCGAGGTGAAGGATGGGTTTGCGGCGAAATTGCCGTTGGGGGAGGAGTGGGGGGATGGTGCTGTTGTTGCACAGGTGAGTTTTGACGGTTTTTTTTTTTTTTTTTTTTTTGGATGTTGTTGGGGGGAGTGGTTTTGTGGTGTAGAGATGAGTTTTGAGATGAGGCCTTGCGTATTAGGGAGACGATGGCTGACTTGCGTTCTACGTAGGCGTTTCACTGGTAAGACGGTCCATCTATGGGCTCCAAATTGTGGACAGAAGCTCATAAGAAAGCGTAGGTTCGCGACGACAGAATCCCTCAAAGAGATTCACCGCGTTCTGAAGCCGACCGCCGTGCTCGGTTTCATCTGGAATATTGAAGACTGTAAGTCTTCTCGCTCATTCACAACTCCCAGGAGACACATATTCCACGCCACCACGAGGCGAAAAAAAAAGAAGAAAAGAATTGCTAACGAAATTCCACACGAGCACAGACAACAAGCCAAAGCACTGGAAAGCAAGCACCCCCTGGGAACAATCCCTCAACGAGCTCGTCTTCACCCTGGGAGGCGACGGCCAGCCGCGCTTCCGCGACTTCGTCTGGAAGAACGTCTTTGACAACCAGCTCGACGCCAACCCGCTGCGCGCCGTCAAGGACGTCGTCCTCGAGGGTGGGCGCAAGATGCCCCTCTTCAGCGTGCCCGTGGGCGAGGAAAAGGTGCCCTTCACGGTCTGGCTGACGCCCGAGGCGGTGTGGAACCGGCTGCGGACGCTGAGCCAGGTCGCGGTGCTCGAGGGGGCGCGGGCGGCGGCGTTCAAGGCCGAGTTTGATGCCATTCTGGGCGGGGAGAGCGTGGAGAGGAATGAGAAGGGGGAGGTTGCGTTGCATGGGGTTACGTATTTTGCTTGGACTTCGAGGTTGTAGCCGTGATGAGATGGTCTGCATCGTAAGTGAGGGGTGTTTTTACTTTTCTGGTTAGACGAAGGTAAGGGGTTGCAGACAACGTTTGGCCATTTGGTAGAATTGAGGGTATATTTCTTCTGCGTTGGTAGATCTGATAACAGACGCCTTCCGAGGACTCTAGACTCGTTCATAGAACTCTTCGCCAGTGAATAGAGTCCAGTCACCGATCCATTGTTGACATCTTCATTCGCGCCTCTCAATAGTCTGCCGAGATGTACATGACTACGCTGTTTATCAGTGGAAATGCTATGGTATGCGGTGGAGTAAGAATTACCGTTGTTTCCTCTCACAAATGCGTCGCCGTATGACCGCCTCTTGGTGCCGTTGACGAACTCCTCCGTCTTCTCCAGCGCGATGTTCATGTAGCCATCGACGGACTGGAGCTCACCTATGATGAACGCAAACTGTCAGATACCTCACTATAGCAAGAATAGAGCACCGCTTCGTCCCATTCTCATGCATGACGGCTGAGGCACTCACCCTTGTAGACGACGCCCGAGTTGAGCTTCACGGTGACGGGGTTGCCGATGATGTCGCTCAGGAAGCTGGAGGGGTCCTTGCCCTCGCCCTGACTGATATTTCCGTTCTCCATTGTCGTTGACTGGATATTATGAGATGGATGTGAGTTACTGGAGGGGGCCTCGGGATGTAGGTTGTTCCGTGGCGGGTTTGACGTGAGGGTGGTGATTGAGGCTGGGGGACGTCAAACTGGTGATGATGTTGGCAGAATTGTTGGCAGCTGGCAATGATGGTGCTGACGGCTGGGTGGGAGCCATGGAGTGACCCCCCTTCTGTTAGAGCATCCAAGGCCTGGGGTACCTGGATCGCACCTGGCGTTAGCTTTTCCCAGGGTAGCTCGCACTGTAGGGCTACCCGAGCAGCGCACGCTCCAAGCTGAGCAGCGTGCGAAGGCGAACTCCAGCTCCATCCCCCTCTAGGTCCTCACCTGGGGCCCTGGTAAGGTGGGACCAGCCGAATCAATCTTTTTGCTCTCACCACGGAAACAACGGCCGCCCCCCCAAATCCCAACCCAAATATTTGGTGGTGGTGCGCGAGCCAGGACGCCTTCTCGTCCCCCCTCTCCCCTTCTTCTGTCGCATTGTTCGTGATGTTTCTACCTGCCGCCTTCTCTTCTAGGCACAGCCTCTGGCGCCTACTCTGCATGGCCTGACCTTTTCTCCGTTATAGAAAGTTCACTCACAAAAAACCCACAACGGGCACATAAACTTGACCCAGAAATCACCCCATTCAAATTCCTGCGCCTTGGATCCTGCACATTGCACCGAATCGCATAACGAATCCCGAGTCAAATTTTGCTCCGTCACTTAGTTGTTTTGGACGAAACGTCCACTTGTGAGCCATGGCAGACGCAGCGAAGCCCAAGAGGCGTCTCCCCTTCAAGCCCACCGCTTTGCGACAAAAGTCCGATCCGAAGCCCGCGACACAGAAGAACGACAACGAAGAAGACGACGACGACGATGGACTCAACCTGTTCCAGCGCTCCGCCGAGTTCTTCCCCGTCGCTGTTGCCGAGCAGGAGCGCCGTATGAAGCGGAAACAGGCGGAACGAGAGAAAAGCTCACAAGCGCGCTCGCCAGAGCGCGAGACGGAGCCAGCGCCGAGAGCGAGCGAAGAGCCTGGCAAGACCGACGTTGAAGAGGACACAAGGTACGCCCCCAACGCACATTTGCACTACCGCCTTGGCTTTCTTCTGACACCGTTTTCCCAACTGTTAGGGACCCCGGCACGCCGCCATCAAAACGCTCGCGGACCAGCGACGAATCCCCGCAATCGAGAACAAAGCAGTCGCCGTACAAGCGCCGCGAAGGCACAGAGACACCCTCGAAGCGCCTGACCCGCGCCGCCGCCTCGCGGACGCCTCGGAAGCAGGAGGTGATACCTCACAAACCCGTCATCGCGATCGAAGATAGCGACGAAGACCTCGATGACGCCGACGATGTGGCCAGCGACGATATCTACGAAGCGTCACCCGTCCGCAAGACGCAGCGCCGGAGACAGACTTCAGAGCCTGAGGTATCGCCTCTTGTTATCGACTCAGACGACCCTTTTGTAGAAGGAACGGACGAAGAGAAAAAGTCATCCGTCGCAGTAGCAGCAACGGAAGAAGAGCAGGACGACGAGTTTGAGGAATACGTCCGACGCGCCATGGAGCGTAAAAAGGCTCTCGAGCAGGACGAGAACCAGCTCGTCAACGTCTTCGTCACCTCTGATATACCAGGCACCAGGGACCGGCAATTCCGCTTCACGCTTGTCAAGCCGCTCAAGGTGATCCGTATGAAATGGGTTGAAGTCCAGCTGGAACGTATTGAGATTCCCCGCTCGGAAGTGGAAAGCGTGTTCCTCACATGGCGCGGTCATGAGCTGTATGACACCACAACGCTGCATAGTCTCGACCTGGAGGCTACGTTCCGCAAGAACGGCGGCGGCGGCGGTGGTGGCGACGGCGCAGGAGATTTATCCGAGGGCTTCAAAGACGACGATTGGACAAACGTACACCTGCAAATGTGGACGCGCGAGTTGTGGGAAGAACACGAGAAGCAAGAGGCACGGAGGAGGAGACACGATCTCGGAGACTACTCTGACGACGAAGGTGGGAACCAGGGCGACGGTGCGGATGTCATCGAGCCAGAGGTGGAACAGAAGATCAAAGTCCTCCTCAAGACCAAGGCGGACGAGCCGCTCAAGACTTCGGTGAGGCCGTCGACCACGATCGGAACGCTTATGGAGCTGTTTCGGAAAATGCGTGGGTTGGCTGCGGACGCACCCATCACGCTCATGTTTGACGGCGACGAGCTCGAGGAAGAGATGACGGTCGAGGAGGCTGATATTGGCGACATGGAGACGATTGAGGTCTACATAAGATGAAACCCTCCTGGTTCACACGTCGATCGAGATCGGATGAGTTGCCAGTGCCAGCCTTTTCTGCTTGTTGAAAGCGAAAGTGCCACGGCCCGGAATGGCAGTGGCTTGAGTCTGGATATCTGGGGAAAGGGGGCCAAAGACAAGGCCCTTGACGAGGGATGTAATTCAAGATACCCGGGGAGTTTTTAGCGTCTTTTCTCATTGGTGGGTAGCGTTAGCATGTAAAGTTGAAAGAGCTTTTTGGACTTTTTTGAAGTCGAGTCTATTGTGTTGGCATGGGACTGAGTTTGCCCCTACCTATTTTGGTCCAACTGCCCCTTGAGGAGAATCTGTGCCTCACTTACATCGCCAACTCATCGATATGAAGCTTTTGAGCACTGCATATAAAAATGAGATTGTCAGTCATATCATTCTGTCCGTCTGCTAATTTATCGTTACTCATCAAAACCGGTCCCTTCCTCCTTCGTGTTTCCGAAAGACCAACACATTTCGAACAGCATCGAGAATATAACTCCAAAGCCACCACACCAAAAACCTCAAATCCGCAAAGGCCTCTGCAACCCAATCTTCCTCACCCACCACTTCCCCCTTCAACAAATCCCTCACCTCCCACAGAAACCCAGGACACGCCTCAGCCTGTTCAATCGTGCCTCTCGCCGCAGCCGGGACACTTCTCCTTGCTCTCGTCCTGTGGGAAACTCCACATCTGCCCGGCGCTGGCGTTCCTGGTCTGGGCCGCGAAATCACTTTTCTCGTCTCTGTTACCCGCCGCCGCCGCCGCAGCGCCGTCCTCGGGGTCCTCGTACTCGTCCTGCCGCGCCGTGATGCTAAAGTACCGACTGGCGTTGTACTTTTCGCCCAGCCGTTTGGCGACGTCGTTGGCCTCGTTGAGGGAGACGAGGCGCCTCTTGTCCGGGTTTCGTTCTTGTACGGCGCGGACGGCGCGCCAGGTCTTTTGTTTGTTGGTGAGGCGGGCTGAGGAGTCGCCGTTGCCGTTGCCGTTGCTGTTGCTGTCTGTATCCTTGTCCTTGTCCTTGTCCTTGTCGTCGTCCTTCTTGACAAAGGACTCGACGGGGCGGCTGATAATGGTCGAAGGGTCTTGGTTACTCTGGAACAGCGTAATCGGGCTCGGCGCGAGGAACTTTTCGCCCGTGACGTTTTCGCGCGCGATTTCGGCGGGCGTGCGGCCGACTGCGTTTTCGCGGTAGAGCAGCTTCGGTCTGTAACTCAGCAACGCCTTTGCGAGGACGTCGTCGTGGGCCATGACGACGGTGTGGAGGGGCGTATCGCCCGCGCCGTTGAGCATCTCGAGCTCGGCATTGTCGCCGCTTGAAGAGAATTCGAGGAGGCGGGCGAGCACGGCCAAAATCTGGGCGTCGTCCGCGTAGTTCTTGCTCGCGACCGGGTTGTAGTGGTACGTCGTCCGGCGCGAGTTGCACACGGCTGTGATCCAGGCGTGCAGCGGCGTCGTGCCGTTATTCTCGGACAGGTTGTTGCGCTGCTGGGCGAGGTGCGGGCGGATCCCGGCGTCGACGAGGTCAAGGACGGGCCCGAGGCGGCAGGCGCGGGGCATCCCCTGCAGGGCGGCGTGGAGGATGTTGTCGCCGGCGTTGTTGCGGGTCATTTGGTTCGCGCCGGCGGCGATGAGGGTGCGGGCGAAGTCGAGGCGACCAAAGTGGAAGGCGAGCCAGAGGGGCGTGTCGCCGAGGGTGGACTTGTAGTCAAGGGAGGCCGGACAAGCTTGTGCTAGGTATTTGATGACTTGGTTTGTGGCCTCTGTTGGGGGGCCCATGACGGCGCAGTGGATTACGAGTTCGTCTGGATTCCTGTGTCAGTGTCATCGGGACATTGGAACGTGAAAAGGGGTAAACTCACTCTGAATGCCTAGCCACTTGGAGATGGCTCGGTCGAAGCCGCCCGGTGCTTGACTGAGATGCTTCAGTCTCGAATCCTCGAGGGCCGCCTTGGACTTGCCAAAGTCCACATAGTGACGGTGAGGTGCGTCGCCGAGGAACCACTCGACGGCATCAATGTTGCCGGCCATGGCGGCATGGAGCAAAGGCGGCGTCCTGACGCCGGTGGAGCGGATCACCATGTTCCTCCCGGCCGTGGCCCAGTCCTTTCTGTTACGAGGGGTTAGCAAGCTGTTGGTGATACGCTGAGGCCGAAGCGTGTCTTTGAGTTTCTGCTTACCTCTTCCTGCCGTAGACTGACAGTCCCAGGTAGTACTTGGACTTGCGCTTCATCTCGACGCCGCTCTTCTTCACCAGGTCGTCGAGCGGGATGCCGGCACCGGTGCGACTAATGATCTCCGCGAGAGCCGCCGTCTTACCGTGCTTAACGGCCCAGAGGAAGTCGCCCTCGGGGAATTCGAAGCGGCCAGTCCTGCCATCTTCCTCATCCTGGGCCACGCCGGTCCCGCTGACGAGCTTCTGGCTCGCAAAGTGGCTGGCCATATCCAGAAGAATCTTGAGCCCCGCGAGGTCGTCGTGCTGCAGGACGAACTGGAAGAGCGTTTGACTCGAGTTCTTGCAGCTGCGCGCCTTGCCCTCCACGGGCTTAAATGTGTGCGTCTTTTGACCCAGAAAGTCGAGCGGCTTGGTCGTGGATTTGACCTGCATCGACACTTGGCCAATGTTTTCAATGGTGAACTTCTTGTCGACAATCTCGGAGATGATCTTGGGGTCGTCGTTGGACGCGGCGTCGCTCTCGTAGTCCTCATCGTCTTCGTCCTCGGGACCGCCCGTGTCCAGCTTGTACCGCATTGCATCCCGATCTTCCGGTGCATACTGGGCCATGACGATCTCGAGGATCGCGTGAGCCACGTCGTGGTGGCCGCGGAGGTAGGCTAGCGAGAAGGGAGTGTTGTCCTTGCTGTCATTCACTGCCATCTTGAGAGGAGGCTCCGCCTGATCCTTGCCCCAGGCCTGGAGGGTGAGTGACTTGATCTTCTCCAGATCGCCAGACCAAGCAGCCTCAAACCTAAATGGGCGTTAGTCCAGAAATACCAAACAATGAATAATGTCTTGCACTCACAGTTCTAGGTATGCAGCCTTCCGGACTTCCGTGACATCAGTAACGTTCCGGAACGAGAACACGTAGCTGTAGTTGTAGAACTTCTTCTGAGCCTCCCAAGGTCTGTTGTGCGACGTGGGGTTGTTATCCGGAAACTTTATGTCGGGATGAATCTCCGCAAAGGTCTTGCCGCCCTTGTCGATGATGGCCTTTTCCAGCTTCTCCAGTGAGGTAATGACCTCCTTGATGGCCTCGATCTTCTCCGGGACGCCCTTGAGCTCCTCGAAGTCCTTCTTCGCCTTCTCGTAGCTCTCTACTCCTCTCTTGTAGTTCACCCTGCGCCAGTAAATATTCTCGGAAATCTGCCAGTGCTGGTAGGTATCTTCTGGGTATTTCGCAAGGAACTCGTCCATCCCGGGGGATAGATGGGGCATCACCTGCGTGAACTTGTCGCTCTTGAAGTCACGAAGCTTCTTGAGCTGCTGCTGCACGAGATCGAGAGCCGTCTCTCCCTTATTGTACGCGCGCTGGTAATCGTTTTCGATGGCGCGGTACGAGTTGGTCGTCATCGTGTTGGGATCCGCACCCTTATCGATGAGGCTCAGCGCAATATCCGGATCGGTGCAATTCTTAATTGCTACGATCAACGGCTGATCGGTGTGTTGGTTGAACTGCTTCTTGTTGTCCTCATACGAACCAAGTCTGTTGTTCGACTTGGAGAACTTTGCAGCCTTTAGCCAAACGTCAAAGTCGATTTGCGGGTTGGCGCCGGCCTCGAGCAACTTGAGCACGAAGACGGAATCGCCGTTCTCGATGGCTGTGTGGATTGGGGCGATGGCCACCGGGTTCCAGTAGCTGGCAGCGAAGACCATGTGGTTGAGCGCCGTCTTGAGTCCGACCTTGTCGTTCTCCCACAGGGTGTCAATCATCTCCTGGTTGCCGTTCTTAACATAACGGTGGAACGCTGTGCATCCGTTCATGTCTGCCTGAGATGAGGTGGCGCCAAGCTTCATCAGGAGAAGAGCCATCGACTTGGCCTTCTCAATAGGCAGGGAAAGAGCGAGGGAGAGCGTCAAAATGGCCGCGGTGGGTTGCTTGTCAGAGTTGAGGAACTTGACGGGGAGGATAGCGTCGCTGCCATAGTCACAGAGAAGCCTGACGGCATCTTCGTGTCCTTCAGAAATGGCAAGGTGCAGAGGCGAGCAGGGCAGATCCCAAGCCAAGACGTCAGTCTTGAAGAAATCGGGCTCGTCGGTCGAGTCGTCTTCCAGAATCAGGTCTTCCTTGCTCTTTTCGTTCTCATCCTTGACATTGACGAAAGACCCGGTCGCCATAGACGTCGCATCTGCCTCAGTGTTGCCCGCGTCCACCATCTCAATGTCATCGTCATCGTCAGAATCGCTGTCCGTTTTGCCATCCATATCTTCGTCGTCCTGCGCTTGAGGCGTCTTTGAAGCGGGCTGATCTTGAAGTCGAGTCTGGATCGCTTTGCGGCGGCGGTCGGCCTTCCCTTCCTCCTCCTCTTCGTTGGTAATGCTCTTGTCCATCAGAATCTTGATCATGTCAGCGTTGCCGCGCTCGGCCGCGAGATGAAGAGCCGTCCTGCCGTCGGCAAGGCGAGCAGTGAGACGCGATCCAGACTCAACCAGACAACGGACGACCTCGGGTGTGGAACTAATGACGGCGAGATGAAGAGGCGTGCGTCCCGTGTAGTCGCGCTTATTCGGGTCGGCGCCCTCTTGGGAAAGCCAGTCTCGGACTTCCTCAACGTCACCGTCGACGATGCTCTGGCAGAGACGAGCCGTGTTTCCGACATAGGCCATGTCGGTCCAGTCATTCTCTGTTAGAGGGTTGAAAGAGCCGATCTGCTGCCGACCTGGGTCGTCAATCAAGAAAGTAACCTTGCCTGAGATGTAAATCTCCGCCTCTTTCTCAGCGACTTCGACCTCTTCCGGCGTCACGGCTTTTGGGCAGCCGCCGCAGCAGTCTTCGATGACATCCTTGACACGTCCAAAGAAGGCGGGGTGGCGGTGAAGATACACCTCTCTCTCGTCAGGTTGGTTCCATTCGGCGTTGAGCACTACAAGCTTGTGAGTAGACCGCTTACAATCAAATCGCGCTGTGATTTACAGAGATCCCTTGTATAGCAGAGCTTTTCAATCTTCTTTGCGTGGAACCTGCCTGAAGTCAGACTCTATATTCAACAGGCCATGGAGAAGCTAGAGCATACCCGTGACCATATGGCACTGTGAAAGTGTGGTAGTTGGACACATCATTCTCGTCAACCCAGTCGGCAACCTCGTCCTCGAAGTTGTCCTTGATGTTACCATGCAGATGATGAGGGTTGAAGCGGTTCGTTGTGGGTCGGCCTCTCTCCTCTCGCCGCTTGTTGAGGTATGTATCCCGGACCGACTGCGTGGGAAGTCGCTCAAGGACGAGAAGACGCGCGAGACCGAGAGTCCTCTGGAAGCTGCGCTCAAAGATGGTGGGATCGATGCGGCTACGCTCAAGCTCTGGCCAGTACACCTCAAAGTTGCGGTGGCTGTACTTTGAAAGTCGGTTCTCGTAGGAGGGACTACGGCGGGTGAGGTCGATTTGATTGACCTGAGTGATGAAGCTTCCCAAGGCTCTAGGGGTCACCCAAACCTGCTTTCCATCGTAGGCACCGCCGGCTGCGTCGATATCGAAACCGGTGAGGATTTCACCAATAGACCTGTCTCAAGATTAGCCTCTTGCTTGATACTCACGTCGAATTTGACACATCTGCCGGTCTACCCACTTGTATACACGCAACACGATCTGGAATGACGGTTAGTGTTGGTCACCAATATCAAGGAATTTTGGCAGTCCTTACCTGAATATGACGAGTAGGGTATTGAGAAGCAATGGTGATAGCGTACTTGGTACGAACTACCGTGACCTCGGTCAAGATTGCATCTCGAACAGAGGCCTCAATCTCCTTGATTTTCTCAATGGCCTCGTCATGGGTAAGGCCATACAAGAAAAGATCCACATCAGACGCCGGGCAAAACTTCTCGTGATAGTACTCTCGAAGCTTGCGCTTGGTCGTGTTGAACTCTGGCGGAACGGGGAGGAGGGTGTTGATGACTGACGAACCGGCAGCAACGACATTGTCCCAGTTCATATCAACGAGAGAGGACTCGGAAAAGACATTAAAGTTCTTTTGGAAGTCCTTGAGGCCGGAGACGACGGCGGGCGAGCCATTAGCACGGCGCTTGTTGTCCGGGAGGGCCATGATGTAGCGGTCCTTTTCCTCCTGCGTCTCGGCGGCGAGGAAGCGGGCACGGGTTCTGATGTTCTTGGTGTCCTTGGTGAAGAGAGGAACGAGGTTGATGTGAGGGTCGTCGAGGGCGGGATTCTTGCGGTCTTGGGCAAAGACGGAGCGGAGTTCGGCCTCGTACTTGCGGTAGGGCTCTAGGATCTCGACCATCTTCTTCTCTGGGTGGTCGTGGATGTAGTTGACCAGGTCCCCGTGGGGAACTGGCAACTGCTGGAGCTCTGGGAGTGACATTGTGGAAGAGTATTGGGGGTTGATATTTGACTGTGCCTTGGAGGGGATTGGCTAGGTGACGTGAGTCTCTTGATCGTGAGCAGTGCCGGGTGAACAACTGTCGAATTCAGCTTGAAGAGAAGGAATTCGAGCACAAGAGATGCGTGGGCGGGGTAGATGATCAACGATGTAAGCTTGTCAGATGAGATGAGGCTGGGAGGATCAATTGACAGACAATAGAAAAAGGAGAGAAGGAGTCATGAGGATGGGTGTTCACAAGAGATGCATTGGACAAGAGAATGAGGAATTGAGGCTATCTTATAATCTGGAGGGCACCGTTTGGCACATTCCTTCTTGACCGTTTGTTCTCGTAAAAAGGAGGGGAGAGGATTTTAGATCGTCCCAGGCAAAGCCATGTCAGATGCAAGGTACCTTTTTCGTGTCTTGTCTACTGAAGAGGTACATGAGCCTAGCGCTATTACGGATGCGTACCGTCGTCAAACGAGCAGCTCAGCTCGGTACCAGGGTTGCTATGAAGTGGTACCTTTAGCAATCATGCGACTTGCCTACAAAGACGAAATTGTCTCCAATGGGTGGAGCACCAAAGTTCCATGGCAAAACCAGAATCACATATGGGTACAGACATGAGAAGAAAAAAAAATAACTGTGCCGCATGAAGCTGTCGCGTAGTTTAGGCAGGATACGCGCTTAAAGGGACGGAAAGAGAGAGAGAGCTTTGACACGGTTCGGGTCATGCAGGGGGGTATGTTGCCTAATTCGCGGCGGAGGTCTTTGACACGAAGTCCAGTGACCGCGGTGTGGACCCACTGTTTTCCTTCCGCCGTGGACCGCCACTGCCCGCTGTTGCCTGCCTGGTGCGCTCCCCATCCTTGACACAAACTCAATTGAGTCGATTCCAACTTCATGGACGACATCTGACGCCGGCTGCAGCCTGAAGAATCTGCAGATCTCGAAGTATTTTGATGAAATGAATTCAGCAAAGTGAGATGTTGTCTGGAGTGACAGGTTGCCAGCATGTCGGTCACCAGTGGTCGGGAATAGCTTCAGGGTCATCTGATCTTTGCCACTGTCCTGCCAGGCAGAATCGTGGTCTAGACCTTTGGGTAATTTCTCTATCTTGGAGAGTGAACTTGCGAAGGGACTTTCAACTCTCGTCTCATTCCAAAAATTCACACGCTGACCGGCCCCAATTTGTTTCTGGGCTACGTCACCAACTCCAAAATCGTCATTTCCCAATGATGAGTGACAGAGCCGAGACATGCAGAAGTTCTTTGAACAGCCCAATGTTCCACGCCGGATGTCGAAATCATATGTGAAGTTCAAACAGTCCGAGACAATCATGGATCATTCAAATAGACGAAATCACTAACTTCATGGGCTCAGTCTCCCTAAAGAATGTAAGCCCCGGTGTGGCGTCTTGAAACTGTCCCATGAAGTAGGCCGTCTTACACACTCAATCAACATTCAAATCACCAGCCAACGACTGTCAATCACTAGGTACTGTTTCCTAACGATCAACCACTTTGTTTCTTACAGACCTGAATGGGTTCTTGCATCCTGGCATTCTCAACCACGCGCTACCTATACTGGCACGACTGGGTTGTAAAGCTTCATCGCCACTTCAGCGTGAAGGAGCACGCGATAGAAAGCTAAGCCATCACTCATTTGCCTTCGTCTCGAAGAGATAGAGTACACAGAGCCGACGGAGTCAAAACCGGCATATGAATTCAGGGGACTGGTCCTGCGTTGCTGCAAAAAGGAGACTGATGTAACTGACTCTTCTTCCCGGGTATTTTGTGCGAGAATGATCTTCATTATGATTATCAGGCTTCCTCCGCTTAACCGAAACCCCCGAAGTACTCCATTGACCTTATGCCGAAGTGATCACTACTCCCCCTCTCCAAATCAAGTACTCTTACATATTCCCGACCATACACTTTCATCATCCTCAAGGCTGTCATCATTCCGTATCGTCGCAGCTAAACCCAGGCACATACTCCATCAAGATCCCGGAAACCTCGAGCAGACGATTGTCCACGTCTCCTCCTATCGGTATCTGCACCGTGCAATGCGCCCGGGGTAGTCTTATGCCCTTCTCCACGCCCATCCGGGACTGCAACCGATTCAGCCGCGCATTGGCAATCCCATCACACTGAGACTGGCGGATCACCTCCTCCTCGAGCAAGTTGACGGGCTTCTCCTCCCCCTCGTCTCCCGCCTGCCGATCTGCCTCGTCTCGCTTGGCATCGTCCTCGTCCTCGTCGCTATCGGATCCCCAGAGGTACTCATTAGCGGCGCCTCGGCGGACAAAGTCGACAAACTCCTCCTCAAACTCTGGCGTCCACGCACCGAGCCCCCGGCGGTGCCGCGCCCGTTGGATGCACGGCGAGAAACGGCGGTCAAAGAGCTTGAGCACGGCCTTGAACGGCGTGCCGGAGGGCCGCAGGACGGCGACTTCCAGAACGGTCCAGTCGGACGGTTGGAAGACCTGCGCTATCACCATGCGCAGGTTCCCGTCAAAGGGGGCCCGGCCGCCGACGGCGGTGCCGGTGATGATGTTGCCACGATAGTATGGATTTCTTTGCACAGGTATTTATCAGCAAAGTTAAGCCAAGCAATTTTTTATTTTCTTTGGTAACATGGGTAGCTCACGGTGAGTATGCCATCTTGAGCCAGTTTACGATGGATCTGTAGCAGTCCCCAGCTCCTCGCGCTAAACCGAGGAAAAACCTCTTGATGGCGTGCAGAATGGCCGACATTTCCTCCCGTCCGAAGCCTCGTAATGAAGAGTGCCCTATGGAAAGAAAAAAGCCCCGACCCTTGGCGTGTCGTGTGCTTGATGATACGATTTGGACAAGATCTGGAAGTGGCGTGAGGGCGCAACATGGGAACAAAAGTTGGGATGAGAAAAAAAAAAAAAATAGTCGCAAAAAGGTACTGGGGCATTGAAGATGTAGTGGAGGACCCTTGTTTGACATGCCCGATTGGGTAATTAGCTAGAGCTTGTGTGGAGACCTGCTGCAGAGAAGCATTGACGCCAAAGTTGACGCTAGCGGTCCGCTTACCGAGATCTCCCAGCCCGCCGGGTCGTCGGTGAGTCTCGGTGTGGTCGGGGTGTTATGAAATGGAGAAAGAAGACCACAAGATGGGCTTCTGACAACTCTGTACAGACAATCATCGACTAGGCGAACATAATTCACGTCAGGGAGTAGTTTTTGCAAGGGAGGGCATCTCTTCACAAACGCCGCACAGACACATCTCATGGAAAACACGCCATCACCTCCCGCATGAAGTTTCATGACACTGCAACGGCAGACCGGCTCCACATACCCGACTTTCCACGTTTCCGTCCGGGACGAAGGGCTAGAGGGGTCCTTCGACTAGTACTTTTTTTCGTCTCAACCGACTTGAATGCATTTCGAGAATACCATGTTTGCAAGTGAAAAACGATACACGACCTTTTCCCCAAGCTTCCTGTTGTTCAGCTTCTCGTTTTCTCCGCCAACGAAACCCAATTGTTGCCCCCCATAACGCCTCATAATGCTGCCATATCCGACGTACAAACTCTCTCTCTCTCTCAATATACACAATGAAATTCCCGCCTCTTCTGCTGCCCTACTCCCTCTTGTCATCCAAAGGAAAGGGGGGGTATGAGGGAAGACTCAGCACAACCATCTCGACGCCGCAAACCCAGTAACGAACCCGCCCACTACAAGCGAGACCCCAATCGCCACCGTAAGACTCTCGCTGACCTCGCGGTCAATCCACCGCTGTCTGAAGCTGAATTTGCCAAGACGCATGTGGAACATTTCTTTGACGTCCACTTCGCCCTTCCAGTTGGGCTTCACCCGCATCGATTCGCGTTTGGAGAATCTTCTCTCCACTCTTTTTGTGTTTAATCGCGTCTGGTTAGTTTTCCGTCAGTTTAGAATAAAAACACAGAAATAAAACAAGAAAGAAAGAAAAAAGAAGAAGAAGGAGGACAAAACATGAGAATTAAAAAAATTAGGGGTGAAGGGGGGGGGGGGCAAAAGACAAGCGGAACTTACACCAGAGACAAGCAGATATCTCCCTTCAATTTGGCCTTGAGCTCCAGGTCGACATCCAGATTCAACCCAATCTGCAACCGCACAGGCTTCTCATCTCGGTCCCCGCCCTGCCGGGGAATCACCACCGTCGTCTGCCTGTTGTAATTCCCGCCGTTGCCATTCTTGTTATCTATGTTGTTACTCCCACCGCTGCCATTATACGCAGACTGGTTGTTGCTGTTGCCATTGTTGTGGTTATTGTTGTTGTTGTTACCGTTACCATTCCGGTTACGATTCCTCCGCCGTCTCCTCCTCCCGCCGGCTCCGCTCCCCGTACCCGTACCCTCACTCCCGCCCCCGTTGACGCTGACGCCCGAGTCGACGGTCGAGAACCCTGTACTAGAATCGCCCGCGCTCGAAGCCGAGTCGTCGGCGCGCAGGCCCAGCTCGGCGAGGATGTCGTTTGTGTCGGGGTTGTAGGTGGATGGGCTTATGGGGGGCGAGGCGTAGCGTCGGTGATGGGCGTGGGGGTAGGTTGTCATGATGCTTCTTGGGGCCATCTTGTGTTTTTTCTTTTTTGCTGGGTTGATTTGGGTGATTTTGAAGCGGAAGTGTCGTGAGGATTTGACTCGTTTGGATCTTTGGGTATTTGCGGTATCGGTTGATTCTCGTCTCTCCTGTGAGGACCTGATCAAGACTGGGGTATCAAGATCGAACGCCAAAGAGGATCAATCGGATTAAGAGACAAATCGCAAATGAATAGTTGACGGAGGCTAAGGCAATATGTCTGTTATATACCCGTCCAATTCCTCACATTTTACCCAAGCCAAGGTACCCCATGAAACCCGTCGCCACATCCAACAGAACACCAAAAGACCATATTCCCTGAACCCTCGTTTCAACAAACCCGCCAATCTACCGCATCCATGGGCTAAACACCAAAAAAACTGTCACAATTGGGCCAAACTCGACTTACACGGGCCTCCTTCGAGACTGAAGGACCGTCACGTGATGGGTCGATGGTGGAGAAGGGTTGGTGAGCATCTCGTACGATACCGCCAGACCCTGAAACTCGTAAAAGCGACCCCCTGGAACAACCATATCCATGATCCCTTCTCCAGAGTCCAGACTGCCCTCACATTTTTATTCCCCCTTTCGTGGAAGAAACGAACCAGGATGTAATGTTCAACGGGATCTTCAACCCATTCTTACCGGGATAACTGAAAGAGAGGGTCAAACGCTTCTTCACCGATCAGCGACCCCTATCGTATGTTTGCCAAAACCCCCGTCAAACCCGTCAAAACGTGGGGAAGGATCATTCATGGTTACGAAAACTCAGGTTTGGTCGTCCGACCAGGTGTTCTATTAATCTCTTCTAGATGTATCCCGTCCGTTTACCAATGCAGTGCCTTGTCTCGCACGAAAATATATCACGACTGATAACAATCAGATTCCGTGAAAGGAAGATCCCCCTCCCCTTCTGTTTGCGCCGCGCCTGGAACCGCCGCAACTTCATCCCATATTCCCTCGCCTCCCATCTGTGTTACAGCAACTGTGAAAAAAAGACGTGCCCTTCCTCCCATCGCATTTAAGATGGAAAATTTCGTTCCCCCCCCCCCCCCTGTAGAGCTTTGATGGTGAACCCTACGTTGTTGAGGATTCTAGAACCTCTTCATCCCATTTTGTGCTATCCATATTCATGCGATGGTTTCTAGACCAACGCAGCATAGAAAGACCCCCTGACCGCATTTCGTAAATCCCATACTGTCTGATATCGAAGCGTCGAGTTCTCTCCAGGGTCTTTCTCTCATGTAGTTGTTGACGGTTAGCATAATCTCTTCGGCGATCTTCCTCCCTCCCTCGTCCGACGACGAACGGGATTTCTTTCAAGTACTGAGCAGATCCCTAACCGACATCCCCCGCCCAGCACCTCTCGCCGGATTTACACCGGCACCAACAGCCCCGCTGCCACTCGCCTCCCCAACCGTCCCCCTCCGATCGCTATTCAGCATCAACAACGCAGCCGTCGCCTCGTGGTCCAGGTCGCGATCCCGCTGCGGCGCCAGCGCGGGACTCGTCAGCGCCGAAAGGCTGCCGTAACCGCCGACGCCGCCGCCGCTGTACGTCTGCGGCCCAAACGCGGGTGACGTCGTCGTCGACGTGCTGTAGCTGTAGCTGTTGTGGCGCTGGTGATCCGTCGAGACGGACGAGTAGGAGTCGTGGCGGTGCCTCGAGTCCTGCGGTGAGAGGGCGGGCGATACCGACGGCTGCTGGGAGCGGGAATGAGGAAGTTGCTGTTGTTGTGGTTGTTGTGAGTATTGCTGCTGCTGCTGCTGCTGCTGTTGCTGCTGTTGCTGCATGGGCGGAAATGTCGGCGACGGGGCCTCGGAGTCGGTCATCTCCACATCGTCCGGGTCTTCTTGGTATCGGGGCACGAATTGCGGGATCTGGCCCCACGGTTCGGCTCGGCCCCCGCCGCCGGAAGGCGTCTGCAGGCCGGACTCGGTGGGTGAACGGGCCTCGGAGGCGTCGCGTTGGGCTTTGAGCTTGGAAACGCAGTCTTCAAGGTACCTGACGTATTCGATTGATGCCTGAACCATTTCGTTATGATTAGCTTCTACCCGGATGAAAAATGAGTGGATTGCCCAACTGACCTGTAAGATTGCCAGCTTGTGCATTTCCCCGGTGCAAGCCGGAATCATGCCCTTGAGCACGGCAAACTCCTCATTCATTTTCGATCTCCGGCGCCTCTCAATCAAGCTGTGCGCCGTCTTCCTCGCAATCTTGCGTCCCGCTGCGCTTGTTGCTGACGGCGCCTTCTTCTTACCCTGTGCCGTGGAAGCGGAAGAAGAGGACCCATTCGCCGCCGCCGCCGTCGAGCCGGCCTTCCCTGGACCCGCAGCCCCGGACTTGGCACCGGCAGCCGCCGGCGGGGCATCCTTAGTAGCCTTGGCCTTAGCCTCGGCCTCGGCCTCGTTCTGCTGTTGAGCGCGCGGCTTCATCTGGATAATCTTGCGTGACCTAGTCGGCGGCGGCGGCAGCGCGAAGCTCTCGTTTGAGGAAGCAGCAGACGTCTTTTGGGCAGCCGAAGAGCGCCGGCGGGATTTCACCGTCTCGCTGGGCTGGACCGGGTACGGCTTGTTCGCGTTGACGTGGGGGGGCGAGATGGGCTGGAAGCTGTTGGTGTTGGTGCTGGAGTTGGCCGGCGACGTCCTCCTCGTGTCTTTCGGGGAGACCCTCGAGGCGTCCTGGACGATTGCTGGCGGTGGTAGTTCAAAGGATAGCTGGAGGGAGGCGAGGTCCTTGGAGCCATCTTGGCCTTTTATGTCCGTGGAGGACGCGGGCGTGGGTAATAATGTTGGACGCGGCATTGTGTATTGTGATGTGCGCGTGTACGTTGTGCGTGTGAGTTGTGAGTGAGACGAGATAATACGGGGAGAAAGACGACGAAAGGTATGAGGGTGACTCTGAGCGATTAACACGACCAGAGATTCCCCCAACTGGACAGAAGCTAGGTTGAGAACGGGAAGCCGAAGTTTGAGGGAAATTCTCGAGGCTCTACCGCTGAGGGACAAATTTGGTTGACGTCTGTTTTTGAGGCTGTGCCCGCGAGCAGAGACGACGGTTGGTGTAGCAGCACCAGAGCTGTTCTGGGCTTGGCGACAGATGCAGAAGCGCCCCGGTCGAAGCTAGGTGCCTACAAGAAGGGATGTAAATCCGATTCGCTGGCCAGGTTTAGACGAGAAACCGGGCACTCGAGAGTGAGAAAAGAGCACGCGAGTGTCGAACGCAGAGGTAGCTGGGGGCTTTCTCGTGGAAGAAGAAAAGGTTCGTGGGAGGATGTAGAATGGGAAGGGGAGAGGTTGAAGGCAGAGAGAGTAAAAGGTAATGAACTACAGGTACGGCGCACGACCACCACGACCTTGGACTGACTCTCACTTTTTTTTTTCCTTCGCCATCCTTGGCCTTGTTCGTCCTTATTGTCTCTCGTGCGTGCCTGTCTGTCTCTCTATCTAACTACGAACCCCGGACCCGTGTATCTGTTCGTAGCTGGCAATCTGTTAAGGCACTCGCTCGCCTTAGATAGCCGTCAGCCTCTTAGCAGCCGTCTAGCCACCCACGCCCCCCCTCTGCCTCATAATGGCCGGGGAGGGTGGTCCTTCCTCCCGGCATAGTCAACAACCCTGATGGAAGTGAAGAGAGAGAGAGAGAGAGAGGGATGGGAGGGGTGATTTGCTCAACGAACTAGCTTGGAGGACTGAGGGCACGCGACATCCCCAAGCCCAGGAAAGAAAAGGGTCTCCCAAAGGGAAAATCCCCGTAAACACAAGCCGGGGGGGGGGGGAGGTAACGCAAAGTGGACGCAAGAGATACATACAGCCTGGGGGAGAGAGAGAAAAGAATAAGACGAACGAAAAGGCCAAAGAGCAGAGAAAGAAGAAACGTTGTCCAATCAAGAGGGTGGACCTGGACTCCTGGGCGAGGAAACGGGCAGGAGAGGGCATCGAGGGTTCAAAGGTGCTGAGCCAATCAGAGGGCCGGATTCGAGCACATGGTGTTCCTGAATGGCAACTGAGCGATTCCTCCCCCCCCCAGCGCCAAGGCAAGCGCCCGCACGCAAGGTTCACTCACTCACACACTCCCCCTTCAGATTTCAGATGAGAATCAGAACCCTTCTCAAAGACGCACGAGCTCATACTTCTAGTGTAGAGATGCTGGCTGGTCAAATGAGATCGTCGGTAATTCTCTCCCACAGCTGCCAAGTCCATGCCTAACCTACCTACCTACGCTACTGTACAATCTGTGGATGTCTCTTGGTCCAAGGACAAGAGGCACGAGGGTAGGCGTTGTAGCGGGGGGATGTCTATGAAGCTTAGTTTCCGATGTTGACTGGGGGGTCGAATTGAGGAATCCAGAGAGAGGCACGAGACATGTGCTTGACATCCCGTTGGTCGAAAAGAAACTCACCGGCTCGGTCTTAGACGTTGAACGCCTTTCCCCAAACACTCCCAAAATGAGCCGCGTTTCCGTGTCACATACGAACGTGCCCGGAACCCGTGGAAATCCCACCTTCCCTTCCCTTCCCCCCCAGCCTCGCGTGCCTGGCAAAACGTGCCTCTTGTCTGTATCTGTCATTGATGGAGCTGCCTGTCCCAGTGTTTGAGGTTGATTCGTAGAGCTGAAAGGAGGGTTTGAGCCTACTCGACTCGTACACAGGCATACCGGCACACACACACACACACACACACACACACGACCTACCTTACCTACCTTGGGTAGGTATGCGGTACCGATGACGAACCGGGCCCCTGTCCTCTTGTAAAGTGAGCACGTGGGCAACTCTTTTCCTTCGAGTTGGCCCCTTCACGTCCTTTTTCACCTATACAACCGCGTGGATTCGTTCCTTCACTCGCACTCTGTCGATGGACCGACCTCTCTCACTCTGACTCCGGGCGCCTCGTCTCGTGTCGACCTGTCGCACTCATCGTAGAATATACCCAGTTCAACTCCCATACTCATACGAATTTCGATAAATTGCCTCAGCCTTTAACCAGAATAGTCATTTGCAGAAAAGAGGCCGCCTACTGCATCTTCTATGAGGGAAATTCCCCTCAAACGATGGAAAGCTACCTTACCTTGAGTTACCCTTACGGTCCCCTCTAGGTGAGCCGCATAGCCGTCAAACCAGGTCATGATCCGGATTACCTCTTTCTGTTCTTCTCTTCCTCCCGCGACCTGCCACTTCCATTCTCCATTCTCCTTCTGCTTCAGGTGTAGTGAGGTAGGTAAGCAGGCAAAGCCGCAAAAAACAGGGAAAATCGGGGACTTCGAAACTCTATAAAAGAGGAGCAATGGCTATTCTCCAAAACGCCAAACTCCAACTCGGGGCTAGCGGCCGGAAAACCAAACCCTTGACCCGCTGCATACATGGGGAGGGGGGGAGATCCAGCAAGAAGCTTGGTTCATGTCACCGCCTCCTCCACCTCCATCTTTTCGCAGCCTCCATCTTCTTGGATGATCTATATCTACATGCGCACGTGACAGTCACGAAGTATCTTGGACGTCTATGATGATGCGATCTTGAGTATTCCATTTTGGTAGCAAGGTAAACTAACTAGAGAGACTCAATGTTTTCATTTTAGATCGTAGAAAATGCTCATAAATGCTTCACTAATATCGTGATGGGTGTTTAAAAATAAAATAAAGACCAGATATCCCATGCCATCGCCCCAAAAATGACAAAGCCATAAAGAAACTCAGACACCATCACAACGTACAGCTCCTAGACCCCTCATCCTTTTTCATCATCTCCCGCAGCAACAATACCATGTTTAAACCTCGTTACTCGGGTACGCAACCTTGGTCGTAGCCGCAAACTCCTCCTTGATACTCCTCAAACTGACAAACCGACTCAGCAAGTTCTGGCTGCCCGCCTTGTCGTTCGTCCCGCTCGCCCGGCCGCCGCCAAACGGCTGCTGGCCCACCACGGCACCCGTGCTCTTGCAGTTGATGTAAAAGTTGCCCGCCGCGTTGCGCAGCTTCTCCTCCGCCACCACCACCGCCGCCCGGTCCTGCGCGAACACGGCGCCCGTGAGGCCGTACTCGCCCGTGCTGTCGATAAGCTCGCAAACGTTGGCAAAGGCGTCCGCCGGTGCCGAGGCGTCGTCGTAGGTGTGGATGACGAGCACGGGACCGAAGAGCTCGGTGCTTAGGAGCTTGTGGTTTGCGTTCGTGGTGTGGTAGATTGTCGGGTGCACAAAGTAGCCCTTTGATGAATCGTACTTGCCGCCCGCGACGAGCTCGAGAGACGAATCGTTCTTGGCAGCATCAATGACGCCCGAAAGCTTCTTGAACGAGGCGTCGTGGATGACGGGACCCATAAAGTTGCTGTGGTCCGTCGGGTCGCCAATCTTGATCCTGTTCACCTCGGCGACGAGGCCCTCCTTGAACTGCGGCCACAAAGATTTCGGCACGTAGGCCCTCGATGTGGCGCTGCACTTCTGGCCCTGGAACTCGAACGCGCCGCGGATGGTCTGCTTCACGGCGTTGTCGACGTCGGCACTCGGGTGGATGAGGTGGAAGTTCTTGCCGCCCGTCTCACCGACGATGCGCGGGTACGATGCGTACCGGCCCTCGGCGACGCCCTGTCCGATGGCGCCGTACAACTTGCGGAAGATGGCGGTACTGCCCGTGTAGTGGAGGGATGCGAATTTCTTATGCGATAGCACCTGGTTGGTAATCGCCTCGGGATTACCGGGCACGAACTGGATAACGTCGCGGGGCAGGCCGGCCTCGAGGAGGATGTTGTAGACGAGCCAGTTGGAGGCAATGGCAAAGTCGCTCGGCTTCCAGACGACGACGTTGCCGAGCAGCGCGGGGGCGCCGGGGAGGTTACCGGCGATGGCGGTAAAGTTAAAGGGGCTCACGGCGTAGACGAAGCCCTCGAGGGCTCTGTACTCGACACGGTTCCAGACGCCGGGGCTGTTGTGCTGCGGCTGCTGGGCGTAGAGCTCCTCGGCATACTGGACGTTGAAGCGCAGGAAGTCGGCCAGCTCGGCCGCGGCGTCGATCTCGGCCTGCCATGCATTCTTGCCCTGGCCGATCATGGTGGCGGCCATGATGTCGTAGCGGTATTTGGTGGCGATCAGGTCGGCGGCCTTGAGGAAAATGGCGGCGCGGTCGGCAAATGGGAGTGATTCCCAGGCGGGCTTGGCTGCGAGGGCCGAGTCGATTGCCTTGGTGACGTCGGAGGGCGAGGCCTGATGGTATGTTGCTACTGTGGTGTTGTGGTCGGCGGGGTTGACCTGCTTTCCAGTGTTGCCCGTCAAGATCTAAGGGGTTTTATTAGCTATACACGGTCGAAAATTGGGAGCTGTGGAGATGTGTAGGCTTGACTTACCTCCTTACCGCCAACAACAATTGGCACCTCCAGAGGCAACTTGCTCTGAAGGGTCTTTACTGCGGCATCCAAGCCTTCGCGCTGAGCGGAGCCCTTGGCATAGTGGTGCTGTGGTGATTGTCAGTCAACTGCCTCCTCACCAAGCTCCCTCCCCAAGTTTCATCCGGCGTGTAAGGTAACCTACGTTGGGCTCGTTAGAGATCTTGGGGATCTTAAAGGCAGCAAACGTCGCCATTCTGGTGGATGTCCTCGTCGCAGGAGCGGACAAGCGTGTTGTGAGTCTGGTGCTCGGAACTGCAGAGACGCTGCGTCCAAGGGATGTGATGCGGGAAGAGCTTCGAAGCTGGGAGTTGAGAAGCCCAGTTGCTCGTGTGGACGCCATGATGGGCAGATATGACAGCTTTGCGCTGTGCTGTGCTGTGCTGTGCTGTGCTGTACGAACTGTCTTCTCTATCGGATTGGACGGGCAGGAAAGTGAGGCACGCAGACACACAGAATGAAGTGATGAGCGTAGCGATGTGTTGTATGGGTGATGGGCAATTGGTTCGCAGAAGACGGGGAGCAGGTGACACTCGGGGAAAGAAGAGACAAACGGCGAACCGACTGGCTATTAAGTTTTTTGTAACGTCAGGAAACGTAATAGGAAAAGAATTTTTGGACGAGTCGTGAGACACGGAAATTGTTCCCTGCCACTCTGCCTACAGATATTGTACCTTCCCAGCAACCACCGGGCACCGGGCACCTGCCACCGCGAACGTCGGGTGGGCGCGGGTTAAGAATGCGACGAAGCTCGCGCGGGCGGAGAGCTTGTGAGGGGCTGCGGGGGCCTTGGAGGTAGGTAGTGAAATCGGGGGTCCCGGTGTCGCTTTGCTACCGATAAGCATGTCACGACCACGACCAGCTGCCTATCGCAACCTCGAACAGCTTTGCGGGGAAGACGTACAGCCAATCACAACTGCCAATTGTACACCCTGACCTTGAATTTTTGGGGTCGAGATAGCAGTGCCGCAGCGGAGTTGATCGGCTCAGTGGGCCCGAATAGATAGAGGCAATCAGCTCTCCCGATCCCGACGTCCCAAAGTCGGCATCGGATGGCTGTTCCGACATGGAGACATGTCGTGTACCTGTGTCCTACTCGGACCCCAAGGCTTACAGAGACGAATTACACCTCCACGATTTGCAAAGAAAACTTTGCAATACAGATATCAACCTGACGGCTCCGTAGTCGGACAAGCCCTCTTCATTATTACTTGGTCATTTGAGATTAGGAACGAATAAGAGTATCAAAACACAGCAAAGGTTGAGCTCCCCCAGATGCACCCGCAATATTGTACATCCGTCTTCTCCCTTTCCTTTGAGCTCCTTCGCCCCATGGGTATAGCGTAACGTAATGCAACCAACAACGCATCGGATGGTGTCTCCGACAACCAATGCAACAATGCTAGCCAACGTCGAGCGTCGATCATCAACCATCTCTTCCCTTCACCACCTTGAAGTCTGAACAGAGCCTCTTTACTCGCCCTGTCCATTCTGCCGCTCCTGTGCAGGGAAGGGCTCAACCGGCACCGGCTGGCTGGTGTACTTGAGCTGGGGAACAGTAACACCGTAACCCTCGGTGAGACCCTCACGGTTGTGCTGATCAATCTCGACGCGGATGCAAATGTCCAAGCTACCATCGTTGCCGGTGCCGTGCTGCTTTCCGGCTGCCTTGTGCTTGGATCCCGATTCCACTTCGCCAACGTGGAGGAAATCGTGCCCGCCCTTGCCGGAAATCACTGATCGCGTATCACCGTTCGTCGGCGCAGCCAGTCCATTGTTGGGCGAGTTCTCCGTCAAGATGGCAAAGTTACGACTTGGCATAGTCACATGGTTGGAGTTGGACGTCTTGCTCGAATCGCCGGGGTCCTTGTCAAAGAACTTAAGCAGCGTCTCGTCCGTATCGTGGTTCAGGTGATGGATCTTGTTTCTCCTGGCCAGCAGGTTGGCAATCGCTGCTGGCGGTGGCTTGTTGGTAATGGCAGAAGAGACCACATTGGCCATGTAGCGGTGGTCATTCTCCGAGGCAATGTTCAACTTAGGATGCGAGTAGAACCGGCCCATAGCCGCCAAGTGCACATCGCCGCCCAAGATGGTGATACGGACTGAGAACTCTGATGAGATGGCCTGAAGCCTCTCAACGAGAGCGTTGCGCTCCTTCTTGTGAGTTCTCGCCGTGTAGTGGTCGTCAAGGTCGTCGAGCAAATCGACGCTGCCGTCAAAGTGGTTGAAAACACCACCAGCTGGTCTTGTCAGCAAGCCAAGACTCATCCTGTCTTTTCATTGTACACTTACCAAGACCGAACCTTCGGTTCAAGAACTTCACCGGACCCATAATGGGACTGCGGAAGACGTTTTCAAGCCATGTCAGGCGCTGAGAAGCAGTCAGTTTCTGCACAGACACCTCATAGGCCACCGTTACTTACAGGGTACGCAATTGGGATTCCCAGCAGAAGGATCAAGTGCTTGAACGGGCGTCCAGACTCCTGAGCGCCCTTGAGCTCTTGTCTGAGGCGACTGAAAATCAAGTCATAAGTCTCTGGGTAGTTGATTTGATGGCGTGTACGCTGTGAGACGTAATTAGTCTTGTGCCTTTACAGTATGGGTTTCTCAGTATTCTCACCTCAGTTCGAGCATCAATACCTAGGAAGGCAATACGCGCGCCAAGCCGGGCGAACATGTTATGTGAGTGTTCCGCGACATAAGGCTGGGGTTCTGGTTAGCTGTGTTTTCAGTGAGAGTTTACACCAATTACTTACACCAGGCTGCTTGCCAACAATGTAGCTGGGATCCGACTTGGCCGGCGCAACGTAGGTATCCATGAGTTGGTTGGGGTCAAGTCCTTGGCCCTCGGCCGTTGTGGTATGATCTGTCCGTGGATTAGCCCGAATTCCTTCGCCATCGACTAGAAACGTACCCGAGGTGTAGGTGGACGGTGGTGGAGGGAGGTGATGCTGGAAAAGCATGTAGTACTTGTGGGCAGTTCCACCAATACCCCTGAATACATCGCATCGCATGAATTCGTCAACGTAGGAGCCGAATCCGTCAATGATCTAGGTTGGTCTGGTCAGAACATGGATCACTGCGTTGTATTTGAGCTTCAACATACATCATGATCATCCCAGATGTTGAGCTGCGCAATCTGGCCATTGGCAGTCGCAAACGGCTCCGTAGAGTACCTGTTCACAATGTTAGCTCTCGGACATCCCCAATTCCGCCCCCTAGCCATGCACATACCAACGGATGTAGTTCTTCAGGTAGTAATCGTCACAAGCCTGACGAAGCTTCTCGGGGAAGGGGAAGTGTCTGCGCTTCTTGGGGTTCGAAATCTCAGTCCATTCGCGCAGAGGTCCGTCGACTCGAATTCCGTCGTTATAGATCTGGTCACCTCCTCCGAGCCTATGCGCAAGTCAGAAAAGCAGCCTCGTACCAAGCAGGCCGAGACATTGGACTCACATGACGTGGAATGGTCGCTCCTTGTGGTGTCGGTTCACATCGTTCCACAAGGCGGGGCCGCTCCAGGCGTCTTCGTCAGTGCCCACACTGAATCCGTTGCAGGAGTGGAACATGATACGCATAGACTCGTTGATGGCCGGGACGAAGAAGTGGTAGCGATCAGGCCTGATGTTGCCAGCCGAGAATCGCATATCGGGGATCGAGTACTCCCACTTGGCCTCCGCTTGGCTGAGTGGGAGTGACAGGTCAAAGGCCCAGAAAGTGTTGCGGGGGTCAGAGTAGAGACATTGGCCCTGAGTCTCTGAGCCATTCGTGCCCGCGCCATTGGCTGCGCCGGAATACTCGCCGTTGATAGCACCGTTGGAACCGTTGACACCGTTGACACCGTTCGTCTCGGCTGGGGCGTGCTGGCCATTTACGGCATTCGCAGGGCGCAGAACCAAGTGCGGTGCGAAGCTCTGACTCTTACCACCGCCCTTTGTGACGATCAAGACGCTTCCGTACCAATTGTTCTCGTCCATCCTGCGGTAGTTGAGCAGCGGTCCGCAGATGATCTCCCGGCCGTCGGGGGCATCTTGCTCTTCGGCGTGGGTCGCCGTCGCGCGAGGTTCCTCCTGGCCAGCGGCCTCGCCAGCAGCGACCATGATGGGCTTGAAGTTGGGCGGAGCATTGGGGTTTTCGGGCTCGACGCGGTCGCGGTTCAGAAAGTCGGCCAGGTCGTTGGTAGTTCCTCGTTCTTGGGGGTCGCGGGGTTGTGCGTGGCTGTGGGCACCGGCGGCATGGCGGAGGAAAGCTGAGCTCTCCTGGTGACGCCATCTGTTGGCCGAGGCATGGGGGTTGTGCTCGATATCATCGAGGGCTTCTCCGTGGGGGTGTGAAGCCATGTCTGCGATTCTACGATCAAGTTGTGATTTTGGTTTCGTCTTTGTCTGTGAGCAGAACAGAACAGTTAGACTGTGGAAAAAAGAATCACAAAGTATATATCCCTGGGCAACGGTGGCTCCTCACAATGTCTCAGCGCAAATGAGACTGGCAGGGTCCAATTTGCGCGCGCGGGTCAGCTCTTAAGATGCCCAAAGGGTCTCAAGATTTGTTGTTTTGCGAACTGAGAGCTCCGAAGGGAGGGGGTATCAATGGCTGGGTATCTGGTATTCCGACGCCAAACAGAGACGATAGCAAAAAGGGAACCTTGAGGAGAAGGGGGAAAGTGAAAGATGGGAAAGGGGAAAAGCAGGAAGATTAAACGGAGAGAGGGTATTGTCAAATCCCACCACAAATCGCACGAGAAAAGTGTGTTGTGTTGGATTGGATGCGCTGCTGGGCCAAGGTAGGTAGCGCAGAGTGACGCGAGCTAGGAATTAAAGTGGCAGGGATTGTCGGCGGTGGTGGGGAGAGTCCACTACGCAACCGCTGTGGGCAACGTCCTGGTCTTAGGTGAGGTGCTGCGCTACAGCTGGAAATTCGAGCTAGGGAGGTCCGGGTGCGGTATGAAGCCGCCCAGGCTGCCCTGTCCGTTCGTGCTGCGAGCTGCAGCAGGGTGAGAGGTGGACCGGGGGCCGGTTTCTAGGGGTGAACCTGGGACGGACAGTACAGTCGGACTGGGTCCAAGGAGAGGCCGTCATGGAATTTTGCGACACTCTGGGACAGACTCACTCGATAGAGAAGGACACTTGGTGATGGTGGTCTTGGTGGTGCTGTTAGTGGTGTTGTACGAGTGCCGGTATCTTTTGTTGTGGCGATGGCCAACTCTCTGGCCGTCATCGACAAGTTTTCGCCCCCCAAGCACAATGCCATAGGGTATTGACATCTCATTTACCAGGTAAGTGTGGTAAAGTAGGTACCTTTGAAGGCGGCCTCCGAAATTCCCTTGGGTTTGTATCCCTCGAATTGAAGAGGCCAGCGCCAGGAGGACCGGGCCTTTACCTCAGTCCAGGTCCGCAATCCTTGCTGCAGCAAATCAATCCACCTGACTCCATGCAGAGAGACATGCAGTATGCTAATAGCTAATTACTGTGTAAGAACCAGGTCCGAGGTCTTTCCATCCGATCCTATTCGTGTGTGAGTATCCGTAATAATACGCGTAGGCCACCTTGCTCTGCATCAAACTATAGGTAGGTAGCTTCCTGCTGCCGCAAAAAAGTAAGCAACGACCCGTCTCCTGCTATTGGTTTTTGAGGCTTATCGGTTGGCAACGTGTTGACGTTCCATCATCCGTATGCGCCCCTCCTCCTCCTCCTCCTCCTCCTCCTCCTTTCTCCCTCACTCATTCCTCACCTCAAGTTGATTGAAAGTGTACCTTGCGTTTGCCTTAGTTTTTGGGATGAGGCGAGGGCCGTGAGTCGTCGGTGACAGCCAGACAGCGTTGGAGCGTTGGAGCGTTGTAGTGTGTGGACGGGCGTTTCCCCAATCTCTCAGCTGCCAAGGTCAAGGTCCTCGTCAGCGATCTGTTTGCCGGCGCGTGTGCGTCTCTGGGGGGGGGGGGCCTTTGGGGTTGGGATGACAATGGTGTTAAGTGGCCAGAGCTCCCACAAACGGCCAACCCATGGGCCATGGCCCATATCAGACCAGCTCGCATTGGGCAAACACGCCGGTTCCATGCTTGCAGGGCAATTCCCGGGCAAAGAAGCCAAAAGGCACCACTCACGCGGCGCACAATGTAACGCCGACTCTGGCAATGGCTCTTTGTGTTTTTGTCTTCCTCCAAAAGTCGTCCGCAGTGCGTATGGATCAAGAATAAATGTGCGCTAAGTGGGATAACCGATTCAAGAGGTAAGATTTAGCGGCATGCAAGGAAGGGCGCCGGTATGGGAGGCCTGCGAAGAAGGACGGGTCGACCGGTCAATGAGTCGATTAAGGGTTAAACCGTAACCATAATCGAAAATGTGCCGCGGCAAGCTGCAGCCGCTAAGGATAAGGTAGAGGAGAGATGCTGCAGGAGACTGGGCTGGCTGAAGCTGGATTAGAGTGAGACTCGAGTCGAGTTGTGGTGTTGTGGTGTTGTGGTTTGGGTGCCACGGGCATGTTGATTGATACGCCCAAAGTGGCCTGGTCTGGCGGGTTGAGATTGACACCTACGTCAGGACTTGTGGTCCTTTGGAAATTGAAACAGGAATGCCCCCACAGGGGCCAAGGCTGAAATAGCCCACTCCGGGTCCCTCCCATCCTTGCTTTTTAACTTCTTAGTCCATGTTATCCCTGTTCTCCGCTGCAGCTCTTGGCCCCCGGTCTTGGTCTGCGGACTCGGCGTGCTTTTTGGCTTATGCCACATCCCGTACAAACGGATTGCCGTTGCCGGTTGTCTCCTTGGCGGCCCGGCATCTCTTTTCTCTGTTGCGTTGTATGTATTCTATTCGCAGCTGCCCTACGCCGGTGCTCGCACTTGACACCGCTCCGAGTCCGGACAAGAGCCACCGACGGCACCAAGCTCCCCACCATCCGACCGGCTACGGTCTTAGGCCCGGCCTAGTGGATCCCGTATTCGTTACATCGGAGCCGGCGAAACACATCGCAATCAAACAGAGGGCCAGAACTAGACGCGATGGCACCACCTGTCATCAAACATTTGCTGAGTTGTGACCACCTCATACTGAGAAAAAGAGGGGTGATAGCTGAGATTGTTGAGCCTCTTGTGCCTTCAAAGCTGATAAACAAAGTGTGAACAAGAGACATCCCATTATTCTTGGTTCCCATGAGGCTCGGCAACCTCAGAAATTTCTAAACCGATGTTCTTGGGCTTCCCGTGGAACCCAGCCATTCTATAGTCGATAATGAGGTTTCCAAAGTCGGCTAAAGAATGATTGGTTTCGCGCTGAGATCATATTTGATTCTACCACGCAGACTGGCCTTCCCACAAATCGCGAGGACAATAGACGCTCCTCAATGCCTACCAAGGTATAGGCGGATCATAAGCAGTATTCAAATAGCGTGTAGGACGACCTCCACAGGTACATGTACGGAAGTATCTACCCTTATCCTTACACCGATATTTATAGTCGATATGGGGCAATCAAATCGTTCTATTACCTGCTTGCCCTTACCTCTTGGTCGACTCCTCTATATTTGGTGGAAAGCGGGCGTTCCATGTCGCTCTATCTAGAGGCAAGCGACGTGTGTACTTGAGGGCGGGACATCTGCCGACTCGTGAGAAGGCCACATCTCTTTCAAAGCCAGCAAGGCGAACTTGTCCAGTTTTGTGGAATATTCAGAGACAGTTACAGGGTCCTTCCATGCTGCGAAATAAGATATCATATGGGGGGGGGGGGGGTGAGGATCGAGTTTCAATGGCTTGAAGGGCTGACTTGAGAAAGCTCGAGCTTTCAAGGATGACTTCCGAATACCATGCAGACAACCCAACATCATGACAGCAGGGCTACGCCATAAAGCCGTTCCGTCACGCAATGTAGTCATGTCGACAAGACAAGCTGGTCCTATGGCACTTTAGATGAGTTGTTGTGACAGGCTGGGCGGCATAACGCGAGTTTCGGAGTGTGTTTGATCAAGCACCGCGACTTTGGTGACTGCGAATGATTCAGCGTGACTCTTAGGTTGCCACTCACCGGTTTAGCTGAGGTTGAAGAGTGACATAGAGAAACACTACGTTCGGTCCGTGGTCATGTCTAGATTGACCCTGAGTGTAGGAAGAGAGTCATTCCAGTAATCACTTCTGATATAAACTTGCTTCCAAACAGCCACAACCTCCATTGGAAACCCAATTCTTGTACTGAACTTCATGCCCATCCTCCGAGTCAGTATGTATTGGAAAATCCGACGTTCAGCACTTTTCTACCAATGCCACTCCGGTCGCTATTCTCTCAGCGACGGGGGAACGTGTAGAATGGCATTCTCTTATTCATCCTTGACTTAGGAAGGTCACCAATTCTATCAGCCTAGAGTACGGCATGGCTGAATGATTTTAGGTCCCGCTTATGATTGATAACAATTACGTATAGGCCAAACTCCTACCCATCTGTCCTTCCGATAGTATCCCAGCAGGAATACTCGTGGCACGAATAGCCGACATATGAGGTAGCGACGTGGACGCTCCTCTGCGAGGATTCAGTTACGGACCTATCCAATGCCATCTACACTCAACTTCCATACAACACTCCAGCTTTACTACTTTCGGACCTGTACCTCTTCCTCGTGCCTTCAGGCCTCTGGCTCTTCGTCATTTCTTACCAAACACCTTCTGAAACTCGAAAGGGTGCTTTAACGAAGTCAAGAGGCCAAGGCACTGCATGTATGCAAGTAGGCAGTAGGAGTGAATGAGATATCGGCTTCCATTTAAGTTATAATTGTACCTACTGACTGAGAGATATCGCACGCAAGATGTGTTGAGGAGCAGGGTCTTATTTTACGTGCCGTGTCAAAGACTCACAAGCTAAATGGCGTTCCCCACTTGGATCGACTCACGACTTCTTCGTGAACCATGATGCCTGTCACTTCTGCCTGAGACCCGTGCTTAAGTGTATCGTGCTGGAGACCATCTTCGCTCAAAAATGTCTGTTGGTCGTGATATGTTGGAGACCCATCTCGTGTCGTGTGGATACATGCCATTCTCGGCTTAGCATTCAGCTCATAGAGTTTAATCCGCCGCTTCTGCCTATCAAGACTCCAGACTAGAGATGGCTCTTGAAAACGTTCAAAAAGAATAGACAACTCCTCACCTTAGGCAATGTAATTAAACCACCAAAGACTCACTGCTCGCAAAGCAAAAACACACCCTCTATGATACCCCGATACGGATTTATTATTCTATTACTGAGCGTCTTGTCATTTGCTTCTGCCTCCTTCATCTCGTCACGCAGTATGTGCTTGAAATCAAACGACTGTTCCAAACATTCCTGTGAGCACGAATGTCTCTACAATGCAGCGTTAAACGGCAACACGCAACGGCTAGTCGAACTCATCCTCAATGGAGCCGACGTCTCGCAGACATCGATGCCTGGCCGACACCAATTGATCCACTTCACCGGGCGGCCGGGAAGCGCAGAAGCCATGAAAGCCCTGCTCGACGCCGGAGCCGACGCTTCTGCAGCCTCCTACGACGGTCAAACGCCTCTGCACATGGCGGCTGCCGACGGCGGGATCGAGCAGGTGCGAATGCTTATCGAGGCCGGAACCAACGTCAACGCTCGCACCATGGACGACGAGACCCCGTTGCACCACGCGGCTAGGGCGGGAGAGGAGGAGATCGCCAAGCTGCTCATCGCTGCTGCTGGTGTGGATATCAACGCCAGAGACTGCTACGGACAGTCGCCGCTGCATCATGCCGCTAGTCGTGGGCATCTCGGCGTGGTCCAGGTGCTTCTCGACGCCGGCGCCGACATGAGCGCCCTCGACAACAAGGGAGACACGGCCGCCCTGCATTCCCTCTCGGACGCGCCGGCCTCGGTCAAGCTCATGATAGAAAAGGGCGCCGACATTTCTATCCGAGGCCAGGGTGGCGATACGCTGCTGCATCGAGCGGCCTCGTTCTCGGCGGAGCTGATTGGACTCTTGCTCGAGGCCGGCGCGGACCTCGAGGCGACGGATGACGAAGGAAAGACTCCCTTACACGCTGCTGCTGCGTGGGGGGACGCCGAACATGTTCGGATCCTGCTTGCAGCCGGGGCTGATAGGGGTGCGAGGACCAACGACGGCGAGACGGCGCTGCACCTGACGGCGGGGAGTCCGGATGCCCTGTTCCTGGGTTTTGGACACGAGTCTGATGCCAAAGCTAGGGTCCTCCTTGACGCCGGTATCGATGTGAATGCGAGGACGTTGTCGGGTCAAACGGCCCTTGATCGGGCAAGAGAATGCAACCGCCCAGCTGTTGCGGAGGTGCTTCTTCAACATGCAAGTGTAGAACCTTGATAGACATGGGACTGGAATTACCTTGGCCGTTACTGTACCTGACAATCTGGGTTGATGAATAGAAGTTGGCCGAATCCTTCCTGTTGCTTAATGAACGGGCCGCTTGAATCCGTATGATGTTGATCCCTTCGCTCCAAGACACAAACGAATCTCACAATGATGGCTAACGTCATTTCGACGCAGATCGAAGTTACCATTGAAGTTGTGAGGATTGAGAATGATTTGATATTGGATTAATGTGCACTTCTGCCTGGTGTGCTCCATATTAATATTGGATATTGAGGGAACCCCGCCAAATTAATGGTCCCCGGGAAGCGCGGCCAATTAAGCACGCGAATTCCCCGCCAGCGCAGCTGGAGCTTACCTTGACCGGGACCTTTATTCGACCAGTGTAACCCGCAGTGACAGGGCAGTGGCCGTCCGAGACCTCCGAACCCTTGTGTCCCATGTTTCCGTACGGATACCTTATGGCGTAGCTTACCTATCCGTACCTTCATGTTGACTTTCCTCCCTCCACCTCCCGCCCTGACCAGCCCTCACTCCGACCACGTAGCACGCGACACACCCTCCGATCCGAGAGACGACAAGACGACTCGCATACGAACACCACCAAATCAATAGATGCAGACGCCATGAACAGCTTACGAGCGGGGAGGCCATCAAAGTCTCCTCTGTTCCTGGTCCTCGCCGCCGTCCTCATCTTCGCAGTAGCCGTCGAGGCCTCGTACGGCGATCGGTTACCAGAGTTCCGAGAATGCGTACAAGTTGGTGCCCACCACATACACACACACACACAGGCGCGCGCGCGCGCAAAATCTTGTGCTCGCGCTCGCAAATAGCAAATGCTTGAGAAAACTCTCTAGTGCCTCTTGTGACTGACTTACTGCTCTGCGCTTCCCCCGCGATCCAGGTCTGCCACGATGAGAACTGCGCTCCTGGCAAAGATGCTACACCAATCCGTACGTTTCTCCCCCCTTACCAACCCCCCCCCCCCGTAACGCAAGGGAATCAAACAGCTAAAGCATGATGTTCCTACCGACAGCCTTCCACCGCCGCCTCCTCCTCTGGACCTGCGCCTCCGAATGCGACTACACCTGCCAACACATAATCACAAAAGAGCGCCTCGCCGCCGGCGAGCGCGTGGTCCAATTCCACGGAAAATGGCCCTTCCCCCGCATCCTAGGCATCCAAGAGCCCGCCAGCACGCTCTTCAGCCTCGGGAACCTCTGGGCCCACCAGAACGGCTGGCGCAAGCTCCGCGCCGTCATCCCGGCGTCGTACCCGCTGCGGCCCTGGTACGAGTGGCTCGCGGGCGTGGGCATCGCCTCGTGGACTTTTAGCGCAATCTTCCACACCCGCGACTTTGTGGCTACGGAGCAGCTCGACTACTTTGCTGCGGGCGCGAGCGTTCTGTACGGGCTGTACTACACCGTGGTGCGCATCATGCGCCTGGACCGGCCGACGCCGCGCCGGAGGTCGGTCCTGCGCGCGTGGACGCTGCTGTGCGTGCTGCTGTACGCCGGGCACATTGCCTACCTCAAGGGCGTGCGGTGGGATTACACGTACAACATGACGGCCAACGTCATTATCGGCGTGATTCAGAACCTCATGTGGTTGTGGTTCAGTTTGAACAAGTACAGGCAGTCACGGAGGACGTGGGCCATCTGGCCGAGTATCGTTGTCGCGGTCGTCGTCATGGTCATGAGTCTGGAGTTGTTTGACTTCCCACCTGTGTGGGGTGCTTTGGATGCGCACAGTTTATGGCACCTGGGCACGATCCCGCCAACTGTACTCATGTACAAGTAAGTCGGCAGTGACACTAGGATTATCTTACGGGATTGGATGCTGACACTTGACTAGCTTCCTGATCAAGGACGCGCAGGACGATATGGCAGGCAGTGAGAGGTTAAAGTCTTGATCTGGTATACGAGGTTGGTACGATCACTTGAGGACGTGCTATCAACGCAATGAACAGGTCTATCTGGGAGATCAAAAGCCATTCAGTTGGGAAACACCACTGGGCCAAAGGCTGGACGCCAGCCAGGAAGCTTCAATGAGGTATGAAATAACGGGACCAGGCCGCAGCGGCTGAGCATTACGCCACAAAAAAGACCGTGTAGCCTTTGGCAAGCATCCGTAGAGTAGGTTGAATGGTCTATTTTGCCATGTTGTCCAGTCTCCAATTAGGCCGGTATAGTAGAGAATAATATGTAACGAGTATGACAGCTTTCTCTCTGGCAAGCAGTACTAGTATAGTATAGTATAGTATAGTGTGGGCATCGTTTCCCGTCCACGCAATCTCAAAAAGCTTCCTATACGCAACAGCAACAATTTCAACGACTTGGGGCACAACACAACCCCTTGGCTCAACTCAAAACATCCACCAGACCGTCTTTCTTATACACCAACAATCACAGTCTCGGTCTTGAAGACCTGAATGGCACCATCGCCCCAGATGCCGATGACAGACAGCAGGAAGCCGACCGAGGCAACGGCAGACTGCACGAGCTGCGTCTTCCTAAAACCGTCCACCTCGCCGCGGATCTCCTCGCCGTTGAGCGCCTCCTCCTCGGCCTCAGCAGCCGCAGCCGAAGACGATTCGTCGCCGCTCGCGCTGCCTGCGCCGTCGCTGTGGGTGTCGCCGAGGACCTCGTAGCTGGCCTCCATGCGAGCCTCCTGGCGAGCGATGCGCGCGGCTTTGCGCTTCTGCTCGCGGTCGCGGGCGGCCTGGCGGCGGGCGGCGATGGATTCCTTGGAGGACTCGGGGCTGCTCTTGAGGACGTAGGGGGTGATTTGCTCGGCAAGACCAGAGGTGAGCGTGAGGACGGAGGCGTAGACGAGGTAAGGGTGGCGGAAGGCGCGCGGGGAGAGGAAGAAGGCGAGGAGGAAGGAAGTTGCGGATACGCCGGTGAGGAGGCGGAGGCGGGCGGTCGCGCTCGGGTAGAGATTCTTGAAGGCGCGGAGGGCGTCGGAGGCGGAGGGGAGGGAGAGGATCGAGGGGACTGTTACGGTTGAGAGGGAGTAGGAGAGGCCCTATTGCGCCGCATGTGTTAGTATGACTTAAGTGAAGCATTTCATGATTGGGGTGGAGGCTGGTTCGGCATCCCGGAGTGTCCTGAAGGCGGAGAGTGGAGGGGGGAGGGGTGGATGGGGATGGGGGATGGGATAGTGGCGTCACTGATGATGGTCCGACGGTGAACCGAGCTGTGTGCAGGCTGGGCCGGGAGAGCGGTGAAACGTACAGTCAGAAGACCGAGGGAAACAGTTCCCACGAACTTCAGGAGGGAGACTCCTTTGGAAGCCATGGTGGCTGGTGCGGAATTCGTGAGGGATTCGGGAAGGAGGCGTTGGAGGTGGGCGGTCGGTGGGCTTGAAAGGATGTAAAGTCGAAGTTCGTGAGGTGTGAGGCAGGTATGGGATGTGTCGTCAAACTATCGGTCGGTCGGGTCGCTGCTTTGCTGCTGACCGGCAAGGCGGGGCGGGGAGGGGCGGTATCACTCTTTGTTGGACTGACTGGAGTGACGGGGAACCTGATGTGACCTGGGTTCTGGGGGTAGGTAGATGGTTTCCGGCCTGACCAGTTAGGCGTCACAGGATGGTAAGATGTTTTGGGTAGGTGGAAAGGGCCGGATTGATTGATTGACGCTGACGCTGACGCTCATTGACGACGTTTCCCGCCTTGCCGCTTGCCGCTCTTTCGCGCGGGAATAAGTCCTGAAAAAGAGAGGGGCTGTTTTCCTTTGCTTGTTTGGCGGCCACCTGGTTGGCCGGTACTGCGGGTGGGTACCTGTGGTGGAGTTTCCCGTCCATGGTATGGGGTACACCGTACCATGAGCTTAAATTATCCGTGCGCCTTGCATTAGTCCCGAAGCTGGCCCGAGGTTGCACAAATCACCTTATCTTGCCTGCACAAAGAGCATAATCATGTCTTGTTATCTGGACCTGCCTTACCTTGTCTTTAAATACGCAGATCTCTTTTCTCTGCTCACAGGATCAAGATGCAGTGCCTCCTTTAGTTCTTGCAACGGAGGGAGAATTGTAGTCCACAGCATGAAGGCGGATTATCGTCGATTCTGAGAAGAGCCGACAGAAGCGGTTCAAGGCAATTGGTCACAAGAATCATTAGCCAGTATTTGATGAGTGACTGGAAAAAAACTATGATATTGTCGGTGCAATCAAGGGTCACTCGAAACGGACTGTTCCACTCCCTCCAGTCTCACCAGCACGCCCTTATCCGGTCACCAGATTTTCGACGCCTCTTCATCTTCACTCCTTCACTCGTCCTTCTCAATCGGCCTTCTCGCGTGAATCACCCAGCTGTTCCAGATTAGACAATTTTCCAGACATGAACGCCCCAGAGCAGGCAAAAAGGGGCCTTACAGAGACGAGTATGCGTGTATCCTTCGGTCCTTCAATTCATTTCTGACTTGAATGAGGAAGACCTGGACCTCCTCCTTGGTCCAATTGAGGGCCCTCGTGAAGGCGGCCAAGCTCCAGCCCTCGAGGCCCTCCATAAAGTTCTCGAGACACCACTCGCCAAGCTCCTTATAATAGGGGTCCTTGGCCCAGGGGCTGACGGGCCACTTATACTTGACTACTTCCACATCAATGAAGCCGGTCTCCTTGAGGAGAGGCACCAGGCCTGGAACGTCGATATAAGGGCGGCCAAAGATCTTGGAGGCCTCTTCGATCTTGTCTACCCACTTGATGAGAGCGTTCTCTGATGTCAATGTTCCATCGTCGCAGTCGGGCCTCATGTGGCCTTCAAACAGCTCAATGTAGCCGCCAGGGGTCAGATGACTAAGGCCGAGTTAGTACCTTAATCCACGGGGTTGGACCGATAAGTTGGTGGAAACATGAAGACTTTGCTTACTTGTAAGCCTTCTCGAAAAACTTCTTCCAATCACTAATGCTCGAGGTCATCCCGCGAATATGGATGTAGTCGAAAGGTTGGCTGTACGTCCAGGGCTCCTCGATATCATCGACCTCGAACTTGACATTGGGCGGGACACTAGAAATAAGTTAGCAAACATGCTGAACCAGAAACATGAACTAGAAAAAGCCGTACAATGCAGTTGGCACTGGAGTGAGGTCAACTCCAACCACCTGGTAGTATCAAGTCAGCAAGGTAGCTCATGCGAGATGTTGAGTTGATGGCTCTCTGGTTACCTCTGCTTCAGGATGTTCATCGCCGAAATCAATAGCCCACAATCCGGTTCCAGTTCCTACATCGAGGACACGCTGAGCCTTGAGGTTGTCGTTGGGAGGAGCCAGGCCCAGCTTGTAGTTGAGGCTGAGTAGGTAAATGTTGTGTTGGAGGTCTGAGGAAGGAGGTTAATGAGACGGCCATGTAAGTATGCCCACGTCTGCGGAACGCGACGTACCGAGTCTATCATTCTCCTTCTCGTCGTTGGGGTAGTGGTATTCTTGGCTTTACTTAGTCTCATCACGCCTGCGAACTGGGAAGTGGCGAAACTTACTGCCATCCTTGTACTTGTGATACGTCCGCCCGTTCTCGATGCGATGTTGCAGGATAGAGCTTGCTAGACTCGTGCTGGAAGACGCAATGCTCTAAGTCTATTAGATTCTTCTAACGCTGCACGAAAATCAGAAGTTAAGCAAAGCCTACGGTTGCCCTGTCCGACGAGGTGTCATCGGTGAGCTGTAAAATCGTTAGCATCAGGTCGCCCAAACTCCGGAGGGTAGCTTACATTATCATCATCCGGTGCTACAATGGGGCCATCCTCGGGCGTAGGGTTAGTCGGGCTGGGCCCGTCAGTAGGCACTGGAGGCGCGGGGCTGGTAGTATTCTCAGACATCGCGATATGTGAGTTCCGATACAATTGCACAACTTGTAAGGTAGGTGAGTGATCGATTAAGTCTGGCTAGCTCACTCTGCAAAGCTCGTCGAGATTTGGAAAGTGACGAGCGACGCGCGACGGCACGAGCCATCATTTATCCCTTCTGTGAAACCAACGAATGCTACCCCTCTTCTAGAATGGAGACAATTATGCATGTTGGCAATGTTGGTGGCAAGGATTCGGTTTGCTCGTGGGGACAACGGGACAGCCTGCTTCCAACAAGCAAGGGTTCTGAACGTATCACAACCAAATGCCAATCCCCCTCTAAGACAAAAGCAGCAGGAGTCCAACGGCGTGGCGAATCAGTCAATCCCATTCGGGTTCGTTTGTGTATCCAGTTGCAGATTGCGAATGACCCAGCCAGGACCGCGGCTTTAGGCCGTTGCATTAGTTTGAGAGACAACGAGTCGCCCGATATGGAGTTCTTCATCAACAGTATGTGGGCCCTGGGATATTCTCACGATTTACTAACTCGCAGACGTGTAGCGTATTAAAACCATCTCAACTTTCCTCACTTTCTTTCCTGCGACTATCAATTCTACCTTTAACAGACAAGGCATCGCGGCCCGTTTGCCTAGTCCATCAGTCCGTCTCCGGCACCGCCTCAGGCTTGCGTCCATGCACCAACTGACTGTTGACTGTCAGAAAACACAGAGCAGAAAGTAGTAGGTTCGAGCCACTTACATGGGAATATACGCGTGGATATGCCTGTTCCTCAGATCGTTGCGAACACCGATGAGGAAGACATCAACCTCTTCCCGGGTCCACTCGAGAGCTCGGGTGAAGGGCGCGAGCGTGAAACCCTCGATTCCATCCATGTAATTCTCGTGGTTAAACTGGCCAAGGGTCCGGTAATGCGGGTCCTTGGGCCAGGTGTTGATGGGCCATTTGAAGGTGCTGTACGTGACGTCGACGAAGCCCACCTCCTTCATGACTTCCACGAGGCCTGGCACATCTGCAAAGGGACGTCCGAAGATGTTGCAGGCCTCCTCGATATAATCTGCCCACTGGGACAAGGAATGCTCCGGGGTCAAGGTGCCATCGTCGGACAAAGGTCGGACGTGACCCTCCTGCATCTCGAACCAACCGCCAGGCTCAAGATGACTTGTGGAATATTAGTTGACGGCATCAGTTTAAATAGGGGAAATGCTCACTCGTAGGCCTGCTTGAAAAGTCTCTTCCAGTCGGAGACAGATGATGTCATTGCACGGCAGTGGATGTAATCGAAGGGCTGATGGTACGTCCAAGGCTCTTCTATGTCATCGACCTCAAATTTGACATTGGGTGGAACGCTGCCCACCGTCAGTACTGTAGTCATATTACTCGATAACGGACAGCTGATTCATACGCAGTTGTTTGTGTAGGAGAAAGATCCACTCCGTATACCTGGTGATCACTTCAGCTTTCATTAATTGAATCAGTGGCAACCAGGCATGCTCACCAGTGCCTCTGGGTGTTCGTCGGCGAAGTCGATCGCCCAGATTCCCGTGCCAGTGCCAAGGTCAAGCACGCGCTTTACTTTAGAGTCGGGCTCATTTGGTGGGGCAAGTCCCAGCTTGTCGTGAAGAGTGAGGAGGAAGAGCTCATGTTGAAAATCTGGAGAAGAGATGGGTGTAAGTGGCGTCTCACGCGAAGGTCAGGTGTGGAAGGGGGAGGCGCGCTTGTAACACATACCTAATCGATCGTTCTCCCGCTCATCATTGGGATAGTTGTATCCTGAAGTTGTTAGAAGACTAATAGATTGGAGAGAGAAAAACGAGGGAATAGCACGCACTGCCCTCTTTGTATTTGTGGTATGTTCTCCCGTTTTCGATACGATGTTGGAGAATCGAACTGGATAAGCTCGTGCTTGAAGATGCTATACTCTATGGGAAAAGGTCAAGCCTGAGCCTCGGTCAAGGAATTGAGTTTATTAATTTCTGCTCACCGACAATCTTTCCGATGAGCTATCATCTGTGATCTGTAAAAATTGTTAGAAAGACATCTTGCTTCTATTAAAGAAGAAGCACTCTCACTTCATCAGCCACAATAATTGGCCCTTGATTGGACGGGAGAGCGTTCTGATCGTTGCACATAGTTGCCGTTGGGTTCAAAACGTGGAATGCTAATCGCACAATTGGGATTTTCCCTATTACTCGTAAAGGCAAAGAAAGCAATACGACACGGGAGCCCGGTGGATGCGAACCATTTATCTATGTGGGACAAGAATACTACCCCTCTTCGTGCCCATGTATTTCTATGCAGGATGGTGGCAAGGCGAAATGCGTGGGTACTTGTCGCTTCCAACAGGATGGATGCAGTTTGCTTTACGCACGTATAGTATGACAGGGCAAACAAGAAGTCATATGTGACAGAAAAAGTTTGCTTACAACCCCTGGTACGTCCGACCGCTCCGACCACAGATGTCAGTCTGTATGATGGGTAGATTGATCGCCCCGGGAGGCGGTTCTTGGAGAACTTACAAGTGAAGACATTGGCACTTCTATGGCACACATCAGATTTGAACGATTTATTTTCCCCGGAAATTTCTCTCTCGAAGACTAGCTACACTGTTGCTGCTTGGACTTTATTACAAGATAAATTGTTTGGCATTAGGCTTCTAGTCTTCTAGCGCTTGGGAAAGACCCCAGTCGACGCAGTTTGTCCCTTCACGAAGCGATGAACAGGAAAGCATCCATAAGTGAGGTGAGGCATGGAAGAGAATCATAGCTACATTCAAATGTATGTGTATAGATAGAAAATTGCATGTTATAGAGTCGTTTCTTACTCTTGCGTCGCTGTCTCCCCCGTTACTGTCGTCTTCTTCTCTCCAGGTTTCCTGCCGTAAACTGAGTAACTTACTATCGTGTCAGCACCAGTACAAAATGGGCTTGGAGCTCTTAGACTTACATTGGCCAATAGGCATGAATGTTGCGATTCCTCAAGTTGTTGCGCACCTCGGCCATGAAGACGAGGACCTCCTCGTTTGTCCAGTTCAGCGCCCGGGTATACGGGGCCAGAGTCCAAGCTTCGAGGCCTTCCATGAAGTTGGCGTGCGTCCATGCCCCGATCTCCTTGTAGTGAGGGTCCTTGGGCCACTCGTTAATGGGCCACTTGTATGACTCAATCTTGACGTCGACGAAGCCGGCGTCTTCCATCACGGACACCAGCTCAGGGATGTCAACAAAAGGCCGTCCAAATATCACCATGGCCTCACCAAGCAGGTTGATCCACTTGGTCATTGCATGATCTGAGGTGAGGGTACCGTCGTCACAGCGAGGATTGAGGTCGCATTCTTGGATTTCCAAATATCCGCCGACTTCCAAGTGTCTGTAGGGTTAGTCTGTGCCTGTCACGCATGCTGGGGGGAACATACTTAAAGGCTTGTTTGAATAATTTGGACCAATCACCTACACTCATGGTCATCATTCGTGTATGGATGTAGTCAAACGGTCTCGAATACGTCCAAGGTTCTTCAACATCGTCGACTTCGAACTTCACATTCGGGGGGATGCTAGAACGGATCAGCTTTACGAGATTGAAACATTTTCATGAACCTCGGATGGCGGAGACGCACGCAGTTGTCTGGACAGGCGAAAGATCCACGCCGTAAACCTAGACACTGACATCAATGCTTGCTCAGAGACATAGCAGAACAGGCATTTTCCCCACGTACCTCAGCCTCGGGGTGCTCATCTGCGAACTCGATGGCCCACAAACCGGTGCCTGTACCGATGTCGAGAACTCGCTTCACACCCGAGTCATTGTCGCCAGGAGGAGCCCGCCCAAGCCTGTTTAGAAACGTGAGGAGAAACAGGTTATGCTGTAGATCTGAACGTGGCATGAGATGAGGTTACGAGACGTGAGATTAGAAGTGAAACGAACCTAGTCTATCGGCCTCTTTCTCGTCGTTCGGCATAGTATATTCTACATCAGTTAGACGTATTAAAACACATGAGTAGCTAGGCGTGTGATCAATTGCTTACTGCCGTCTTTATATCTGTGATAGGTCCTGCCATTCTCGACGCGATGTTGAAAGATAGAGCTGGTCAAGCTGGTGGTTGACGATGCAAAGCTCTAGTTCAAATATTAGAGACTGTTCCGGGACTAGATTCGAACAATGGCGGGGACAACCTACGGATGCATGGTCAGATGAACTGTCATCCCAAACCTGATCGAGTAGTTAGACGCCATCAGTTCATTAGAAGGATGAAAATGTGTTACCCTGTCCTCAGCGACAATGACAGGACCTGCGCCCGCGGCCTCATCGTTACACATTGCGTAAGATTTCACAGATGGTCCGCTGTAAGCTTACAACACTGAAGAGAACCACAGACGAGGGTTTCCTGTGTTGCGACTCTTTAAGAGTTCAGAGAGTACGTGTTTTACCCCTCTCCTTGGCTGGGGAGTAGACACTGCATATTGGCGGCACGGATGCAGCTCGCTCATGGGGACAGACTGTTTGCTTGCCAACAGAGCTCTCTCGTACGTATGGTTCCTTCAATGAGAATAACAGGCCGGATGTACGACAATTGCAAGCCCTGTGGGTGCTCGGCGAGCCAGGAACCGGGGGTGTTCCCCTGCGATACCCAATGGTTCGCTCCGCCGCGCCGCGGACTCGAGCCGCTGCATGTGACTTAATGAAGAAAAGATGTTGTGACAGGGGATGTCTTCACGTATTCTTCGCCGTGCATCGTACGACTTGGCAGGTGACAACTCTTGTTGTCAGAGACGCCTTAGAAGGGACCAGTTAAATAGAGAGTAAGTCTCTCTTGGGGGTTCCTTTTCTCGGTCTCACGTGGCAAAGCTTTCCTTTGAAGATATTGCAACGTTTTAATGGGGATGCTACCGTTGCCAGATTCCTGGGATGCCAATGTTGAAGAAGTTGCGGGGCTGAGCTTCTGAAGCTTCCGTTCTTCTGGGCCGCGATGGCAAATGACATGTCAGTCAGCATAGAATGATGCATCCAACATATATATGGTCACGATCGGGCCCCAGAGATGTCAATAATAGGTTGATTGAACGCTACATTTGGTGAGCATTATGTGAAGCAGACGGCATTGTGTATGATTGGGGAAGGTGTTCGCCAGCAGGAGAGTCGTTGGTTCGGGGGCCCCCGAGGAAACCGCGCTAAATTAGACCCCATGCGGGAGGGTTAGGTGCGTTTGGAGGCTGGAGGGAGAGAACTGGTGTTCTCTTTCCTCTGTTCTCCTCTGCCCACCAATCAGCAGCTCCTTCCCCAACTTTTGTCTTAGGTTTCCCCGTGATCCCATCGTGACCGAGCTGTGGATGAGTCAGCAGCGGAATCACTAATCATTTGGGTTCGACATGCCGCGGAAGGCTCCGCACTCGGTGTCTATCCTTACCTTCCGTTGCCGAGGTCCCAAGGTCCGACGCGCTACCACCGCCTGCCATCTGAGCTGCGCTTTGCCGTGGCCGTTGCACAACACGACATCGCACCAACCGGACTCTTTATGGTTTCTTCTTCCCCGTGTAACATATAGGTTCGACTTTTGTACACCCTCCGATATCTCTGTGCAGCCAACGGATCCACCAAACATCCATCGTCAGGGTCCCCAAACAATCAGCATCTATCGCCTTAATCTCGTGGAAGCAGGGTCCCACACGTCATCATCTCGAACCACCTGTGATACCTTGTTCATTGTCTCTGTCCCATCCCTCATCACCCACATCTGCTCCCTGCAAACATGCCTATTCCCGAGTCCGAGTATTTGAGTCCCGTCTGGAAGGATGGCATCTTTAGTGAGTGGTTTCCGCACATTGTCTTTTGTTTGTCGCAGCCCCCGTCAATACTAACTGTCTGGTGCAGACAACAGAGTCGCCTTTGTCACCGGTGGCGCTGGAAGCATTTGCAGTGCTCAAACTCGTGCTCTCGTGCGCCTCGGAGCAAATGCCTGCATCATCGGGCGCAATGTCGAAAAGACAGAGTCCATGGCAAAGGACATAGCCACTGCTAGGCCTGGTGCAAAGGTCATCGGTATCGGCGGTTGTGATGTGAGAAATGTATGTGCTCTTCAACACGCATATCTTCAAGATGTATTCCGGCTAATAATTTACATCTAGCCCCAAAGCCTGCAAGACGCCGCAGATCGATGCGCCAAGGAGCTGGGCGGCATCGACTTTGTCATGTAAGCGTCCGATTCACAAGGGTCTCATCCTGCGGCAGAATGCTGACAACCTTATTACCGACAGTGCGGGAGCTGCTGGCAACTTCATCGCACCCTTGTCCGGCATGAGCCCCAATGCATTCAAGGCGGTCATCGATATTGATGTCTTGGGCACTTTCAACACTGTGAAGGCTACCATTCCCTACTTGGTAGACTCGGCAAAGAAGAATCCCACGCCCAGCCAAAACGGCCTGACCGGAGGCCGCATCATTTTCGTCTCTGCTACATTCCACTGGACAGGCATGCCACTGCAAGCACATGTCTCAGCCGCCAAAGCAGCCGTAGATGCACTCATGGCCTCGGTCACGTTGGAGTATGGCCCGTTCGGAGTCACGAGCAATGTGATTGCCCCCGGGCCGATTAAGGATACGGAGGGCATGCAACGGCTGTCCAGCAGCAAGCAGGACCAGGCCAAGGCCGACGCCGTGGTGCCGCAGGGTCGGTGGGGCGTAATCCGGGACATTGCCGATTCCACTGTCTACCTCTTCAGCGACGCCGGCAGCTTCGTCAACGGTCAAGCAATTCCTGTTGACGGCGGTGCCTGGAGACGTCAGGGTGCGCTAGCCGTTGGAACAGACGAAGACATGAGATACCCCGATTTCCTCCTGAAGGGAGAAATCTCGAAGCACGTAAAGAGCGGCCGAAAGACGGAGTCTAAGTTGTAACTGGCGTCGAGAATTCGGCCGTAGTGGGGTCGGAAGGATCACCTCCAGGCTCCAGCAAGTCCGCGGACAAAGCAATCCCATCGACCGGGGGTGGAGAGATTGTAAGTTGACATCGTAAGGGCGTGGCTGTTGACCCGCTCAGAGCTTGTTAGATATATCGAAGAACCGCAGGAAATGGCACTGTATTTGACGAACCAGCATTCGTTTACAGAAATGACCAGGATCTTTTGGCATTTTGTACAATCCTACCTTACGTTTTATCAATCAGAACCTCCAATCCTTGAGTAAAGCGGCTATCGGCACCACAATTCCACGCAGGCTAGACACATAGGTATCTCCCAGCCGCCGACAGGCCGAGCCGCCCCGCGGACGGGAGCGGAGATGCTTGCTGCTGCAAAGCAACACACTTTTTTTCTCTTTACTGCGTCGGTCACCAAGCCAACTAATTAGCGTCTTTCAAAGACCGGACAGGGTGCGGCGCACTCAAGCTTTTCGAGCCAAGCCGGCATCCACATCCCTCAACCTGCAGGTGATAGCTTACCTTTGGCGGGGCCTTCAGGAACAGCTTGACTAATTGGCCACACGAATTGCTACGCCGACGTGAGTGGCATGGTGGTGGCATCCATCCATCCATTCCCGCCGTCGCCCGCCATGCGGATAAGCCGCAAGACTCACCCGCTCGCGCCGCCCACGGTTGCAGTAAGATCGCACTTTTTGACTGCAGAGTGATAGGACCTGGCCCGGTGGATGCTGATCCATGGGCCTAGTGCGTTTTTTTATTCGAACCCTTCTCTATTACCCCTCCTTTATCGCCAACCATCGACTGGTCCGGAGCGAGGAAGCGGGTCGAACCATGCTGGGGACTGGGGACGAGGAATGGAACATTTGTCGCTGAACCATGTGCGGGCTGCAGGATTTCTTTGAAGGCGACTCTAACTTCTTGAAGCGTCGAAAAGTCCGACTGTCGGTCGTGACATAAGAAGGCCGGCGGTACCCAATTTCGCGAGGGGCCTCGAGGCGACTCTCGATCGTCTTAGATTCTTCAACTCCTGTGAGGTTTATTTGAACTGGTGACGGGCCGTCAATCTCATTGCTTTTCTTCTTCACAGGAATTGCAACCCGGCTTTCAAGCTTATCTCACCAGCCGTTTTCACACTTCGGCGGGTATTCGATTTGTGTGTAGCAAGTTGCTGATAGTTCAATCGGGTAACATCGAGTAAGTAGAGGTTTCTGCTTGTTGATTTCATACATGCATCAACTCTTATAGCCATTGGACATGAGTATCACCAGCAGGACTAACACACTCACAGGGTCCAACAACACATCTCAAACATGGGACTCAAGCACCTCCTGGCAATGGGTCTGCCCATCATGCCAGCGGCCGCAGAGACCGTCCTCGGCATCTACGTCTTCCATCGTCACGGCGACCGCACAGCCAAGAAGACGCCCCCTGTCCGCTTCACCGACCTCGGCGCCTACGAGGTCTACACCTCCGGCCTGGAATACGGCCGGCTCTACGTCCGCGAAAACGCCACCCACCAGATCCGCAACATGAGCACCGACGACGTCCTCCCAGAGCAGCTCTCCGTCACCTCCCCCACCGACGTCGTCCTGCAGTCCTCGGCCAACGCTTTCCTCCAGGGCTTCTACCCGCCCTCCGGCACCGTCGAGGCCCTCGCCAACGGATCCAGCGTCGAGGCGCCCCTCGGCGGATACCAGTACATCCCCGTCAACGCCGTCGCCACGGCCTCCACCAGCACAAACGCCGAGAGCAGCGAGTGGCTCCAGGGCGGCAGCGGCTGCGGCAAGGCCGTCGTCAGCTCCAACAACTACTTCTCCTCGCCCGAGTACGCTGCCGTCGACGCCGAGTCCCGCGACTTCTACCAGAGCCTGCTGCCCGTCATCAACGGCACGTTCGGCGCAAAGGCCGCCACCTTTGAGAACGCCTACTCCATCTTCGACCTCATCAACGTCGCCAGGATCCACAACGACAGCATCCCCTCCGACTCCCTTCTCACCAACGCCACCGTCCGCTCGCTGACCGACTACGCCAACATCCACGAGTGGAACCTCGCCTACAACGAGAGCGACCCCATTCGCGCCATCGCCGGCAAGGTGTTAGCCGGCCAGGTCCTCCAGGCCCTCAACGCGACGCTCAAGGACGCCGCCAAGTCCTCCTCCGTCAAGGCCAACATCCAGTTCGGCGCCTACGCCAGCTTCTCCTCCTTCTTCGGCCTCGCCCAACTGCAAAAGGTCTCGGCCGACTTCCAGACCGTCGTCGACTACGCCTCCTCCATGGTCTTTGAGCTCGTCACCAATGCCACCTCCGCCAGCCCCGCCGCCGACGACGTCGCCGTCCGCTTCCGCTTTGCCAACGGCTCCGCCGGCATCAACAACCTCACCGTCTACCCGCTGTTTGGACAGTCCGAGACCGTCTTGCCGTGGAACACGTTCGTCACCCAGATGCGCCAGTTCGCCATCGAGGATACCAAGACATGGTGCACCGCCTGCGGCAACTCCACCGGCACCTGCGCCACGGCCCTCGGTCTGGACGGCAGCACCGATGCCAACGGCTCCGGCTCGAGCGGTAGCAAGGGAGGCGTCTCAACCCCTGTGGCGGGCGTCATTGGCGCGCTCGTGACGCTGGTCGTGATCCTGGGTATTCTCGGCCTCGTCATGCTCATCGGTGGCCTACGCTTGGTCAAGAAGTCCAAGATCACCAAGGACGTCCCTGCCGCTTCTACTGCGGAGCAGACTGGTGGTGCCAAGCACTAAACACGTAATGTAAGAAACGATTGTGTGCGACCAAGCGTTCACGATGGATTTGTGATCGATAATGAGCCACGATGAATGTATCGTGGAAAGTAGTCCCAAGCGGATATGAGCTAGCTACCTTAGTAATGAGATGTTGATACCACCCTTTTACTCAAGAGACTACCTGTATTCCTTGCCCTGTGATGAATATGCTCTGCGTAAAGGGAGCGACCCGAGGTATTCGTCCCGTATCATAATTTCATTAGTGCGTCAGAACCTCCTCTAGGCCCACGGCCTCACTACCATGGCCACAGTTCCAATCAAGTATATTCCATCGATGGATATTCTAGGGACTCGCAAAGGCAAGAGGTGTTGTAGGTTGTCCACTGCCCCCATCCGAACTACCCAAGTCCTTCGAAGAGGACCCCTCCACCCCTAACGGGGCAGCCTACGCCCTCAAGTCTCTCAACTCGACCAAGTTTGGATTGTCATCTCTGTCGACTTCAGTCGGGTCGGAACTAGATAGTGTGGTTCCGCGCATTCTCCTGTCATTAGATCGAGCAGATCGCTCTCTGGTAATGTCTGGCGATGCAATGTCCGCGCCTCGAGTTTCTATCACCTGAACGGTAGGGAAACCTCGACGTGAGCAGCAAGTGCGCTAGCTTGCTACTGATGTCTCGTTCATACCGTATATTACGGCGTCGACAAGCCCCTGGATCACGATGCAAGCTTGGTCGACGTTTTGCAATGCGAATGGCGCCGGCTTATTCGTACTTGCCTGGTATATCCGGATGGCAGTCGGGATAGTCCAGACGATGGCATATGCAAGCGGATACAAAAGTAACTGGCGAGCAACCTGGAGCACGGTCAGCCTTTTATTCTTCGCTGCCCTGAAGCATCATGTTTTCTTACTCTTTTGAGCCTTCTGATGGAAATCATGGATCGGCCTTCGAGTCCTTCGTGAGTGCTTGCTGCCCTGCTCCCATCTTGTGTCGAGTAACCGGACTCTAGATATCCGGGAGACTCCTGTATCGAACTCAACCTGTTCTGAGCTCTGAAAAGAACAAGGGCGAGATATGCATATGACACAAACATGATGGATATGATTATCCCTAAGGGCATGTTAATCGTAGATCCCACGCCGTTTATATTGTGTGCCACTCACATCGAGGAACAAAGTTGGCAAGCAGCCTCACTTTGTCTGACTTGAACCAGCACCCTGCGCGCCTAGGTCAATGACACGAAAGTGCTTTGCCTTGGTCATGAATACTCACAAGCCCCGATGCTGTTGTAGCCAGCCAACTTGAGGCCCAAAGAAGCCCATAAGACTGAGAAGAACCACGGAAGTCCCCAAATGACGACTTCGTGGTTTTGTACCCAGTTGGCTCGCTTTCTTTGGCCAGCCAAGATGAAGAACGTGCAAATGGCGATGCTTAGGACCCAGTAGTCGGTTTGAATGACGAATACCTGGGCCATGAAGCCGTTGAGCTTACAAAAGTCGGTTTGCTCAGGATCATCGATAAGTCTGCCGCTAAGATTCATCGTTGTCGAGCAGATGAAGTTGAAAGCCATGAGAAAGTCACTGATCGCAAGTCCGATGATAAGACGGTGACGGAAAGATCGCAGGTTCGGGAAGATCTAAAGGGCTTGTCAGTTTTCTGTACATTGCTAACTGATTCGGAGTGGGGGTTGACCCAGTAGCTGGCCATGATGAAGGCAGCACCACAAAGCGACAAAATTGATACAACAAGGATAACAACGCTCTCTATTCGAACCTCCTCTGCGGTAGGAGGTTGGTCTAGTCCGCTTCCATTGCCTGTATTGTGTTGGAGAAACATGACGACATGTGAGTGCTTGTGAATGCGCACCGCTGGAGCCCGTCTGCCTTGAAAACTGTCTCACAGGTGGCGACGTTGGGTCTCTATTGTTGATATGATCGAAGCTGGAGTCGTTGCGGCTGTACGCCTGGGCTGCTTTACGTTTGGCGATGATGTCTGGCTTTGTTCGTTTGACGACTTCATTTAGAATGTTTACTTGGCGTTGTTTTAGCAATTTTGGCTTCCGGACCTATGGTGAAACCGAAGGTAGCCATATCTTTAGAAAAGGAAATCCAGGCAAATGGCAGATTCGACAGCAAAGGAAGCAGCCGCCGAGTTTCTGAGGCGATGGAAGGCGAGCTTATCGCCGCGATCTTACTCTTTGCGCCTCCTTCCCATGAGGTACACACGGAAGGCCATGAAGTGTCTAATGTGGGGGTCTCGGGGTCGGACGGTAGGCAGGAACATTCGACATCGCAGAGATCTTGGTTTCAGAGGAAGCGACGTCGGTATCATGACGAAACCCAGACAGTTAGGGATTCGTATTTGTGAATATGAACATGAAAGAATCTGTAGCCGAGAAATTGAAGATAAGTAGACGGAAAAAGAAACAAGAGGTGGGAGTTCTCATGCAAGCGTGTGCCATTTGGCGTGGTCTTGTATGGCTTCATGTTCGCAACAACAGCACCTGCCACTTGCTCAATGGTTGAGAGAACAGACCTCGTAACCGGCCATCAGCTCGCAAGATATCAAGTACTCCGTCTTCAGACACTTGCAGGTACGATATTTGGCAGGGGCTCGAAGTGCAACTCGTCTATCACAAAGAATGCTCAGTACCGAAGTAGGTATCCAGGGCACTCTCCGTCAAGGCTTTCCATAAGAAGTATCCAGTACGGGTACTGGGGAGACATGTTGTCCCTTCTTCAAACGCGCCTTCAGTATGGATACTTGCACAGATGAGTAGGTGCTATGCAAAACCGGGAATACCTTCCTCCACTGACAGAGAGAAATTGTATTGTCCGCAAGTGTCGCATGAATACTCGCCCCGCCGCTGTTACACCCAAGTTCCTAGCTGCCGACATTTCACCTTACCTCCCTCAGGACTAGTCGAGGCCAATGTTCCACCAACATGTCCGTCTCAAAGCCGGATATTCCCATCGCTGCACGGCACCCGCTACCCAGCTGCTTCCAAGATTCGATCTTGGTTAGTCTAACGGTCGTCCTATTTACATGGATCCAGTCCTAGCGGCGTGGACCCTCCATCGGCTGCCCAATTCTCCTGAACATCTCGTCTCGGAAATTTGGACACCGACTCGATTGCTCTGAACACTTTTTTTCGTCTCGACTTGGACGATCAAGGACATCTCCGGCTGGGCGTAGGCCTTCACCAGCTGAATCTAGAGCTCTTTGGGAATATTCACAGAAGTTTTTAGGCGGTTTTCTGGATCCCGATAATTGAGCCCCGACGCTATGTCAAAGCGATGCAATCTCCCACGTCCACTAGTGCCGCTCCGCTCCATCGATCGGCGGTCGAGAACCTGAGAGTTGACAGCAGACTTGTCATGTTGCATGTCTGTCACCAGTGTCGGCCGCCAGTGTAGCAAAGCGGAGGTTTGCTAACTCTGACATTTACTCTGGGTCCGATGTGGCACCCGATACCCTGGTTCTGGGTAAGGGGTTTGTTTGCTGACCATTCACCATTGGAGCAAAATACATACAACCGTCTTCTTTGATCCTCGACACAGCAGCCCCTACAGGCTCCGACCCCGTCTAATTAAGGTCCGAAGCCCGGAGCAGCGGCTCCTTAGCACATCCTTGGACCTGGAGAGCGGTGGGCGGCCGGTCCTAGGAGCGCACGTTGCGAAACCGAACGTGCGCCGGCCGACCCAGAAATCCGAGGAGGTCGGCTTGTTTACTTCCTGAGTTCCTGATGGTTCTTTGCCCTTGGGCCGTTGCCGAGAGTTTGCGGGGGAGGCTTTCGGCATGGTGCCATCGGCCGACCTTCACTACGATCCCGGTTACTAATTCTGGAAGAAGGAATCGCAACCATCCGGCGTAGACATCCCGACCTGACATCATTCCGCTGACTCGCTAGCATCATACGAGCAAGTGTCCTACCGCAGCCTCCACTACACCGTTTTGACAGGTGCGAACCGTCGTGATCGGCTCAGTGCCAGGACGAGGGGATGACGAGGCGGCGGAGACATCTAGGACCAGGCTGGCAGCTTACCCCGGCATCGAGTCTCCACGGCAAATTGAGATAAATGGGGGAACGATGTCGCCCTCAAATCACTTCCTAGGTCCTTCCCCCGCCAGAAGGGCCAAAGCGGACGACAAGGGTTCTTCGAGAGGCAAAACGGCAGAAATGGCCAGATGGCAGAGGAAGGTTTCGGGGGACAAGGACGGGATGTTTGCTGGACTTCTTGGTCCGCTCAATTCGGCTGGTGCGACAGCAACATACGATATCCCACTGGGCTAAACGACCAGGAACCCCGACATGGAATCGGCACCCTCCGTCGGCCATTGTGCTCGGGGTAGACGGAAACCTTCGCAACGTGTCGCCGGGGTGGTTGCCAGCTACGGGCCCGGAGTGCCGGGTCGATCAAATGCAAGCCCAGGGACGCCCATGAACACTTGCGTAGGGCAGCAGCATCAGACCACCATACCGTATCGGCAATGCGACGTCGCTTGCGGACCCGGAGACGGCGCCGTTTTGGGACTTTGCTTCCCATCACAAATGCTAGCGGCCGCCCTTTCGGTCCCGAGACCACGGACCGGCCCAGAACATACTGAACACAGCCCACCAGATGCGACATTCTTCGAATAACCGACTTTGACAATGTGCCGTTCTATTCAAACTCGTACCTGGAGGGTCATGAGCAGGGTTGGAGCTTGAACAAGAAATTGGCATGGGGCTCCAGATGCCACATTCGGCGCAAATACTGCCCGTGAGGTCTCGTGCGGCGTCCCTCTCCAGGTCGTTCTGTCAAAGTCAGACCCAGTCCGACCCGCTGCCGTCCACAATTCAACCCCGTCCGTTGAATCTCGAAGCCGACGTCACGATGCATGCTTACTAGACTTGAGGCACGAGTCGGTGTCCTTGATCGACATCTAGCCCTAACAGAGACTTTCTCGTACGACTCAGTACGGCGTATCGTACTGTGCTTCTTTGCGGAACTGATCGACTTCGAAGGAGCTTTACGG